CAGGACTGTTACACAAACGTATATCTCTACGTGAATAAATAGTGTCGAGTTGCTTTACAATTCCATATTCTTGAAACACCTTGATCATCTCGTCCTTGTTTGTAGATTTCTCAATCATGTCGCTGACATTATTAACAGACGCAAAGAGTCATACATATTGGCATCATACATCGATATCGTCAATTGCTCAAAACCAACGACCGTGCAAGCGATACAGGAAAGTCGCGCATATTGGATGCAACTGTTCCAGCTATCCAGATCATGCGTGGTTTTAATGCAAAGTTGTCGCTGTATCTGATACACAAGTCGTTCAGTGTTTGAATCAAATCCAGCCTTATCAACTCGGCTGAAATCACTTCACAACCTGCATAGTTGCAAAAACTATCAATAGTATCAATGCTTTCATAAATCACTTCTTGATCGACACTCCTGTATTCATGTCATGTCAATCCAACCATGTCAAATTTACCAATTGTGATGACTGGACACACATTCATGCATAACACCACATACCTGAGCGTATTGACTATTGCTGGAATGATGCCACATTCTGCTGCTTTTACTGGGTTATCACGATGAATATTCCGATACATGGTTTTAAGATTTTTGATAAAACCAACAGCAACTGAACCACTGGATGATTCCAGTCGTGAAACAAGTATTGACAACACGATGCCAAACTAATGATATTGTTCAATGTCAAGTATACAATCAACATGACATGACAAGACACTGTCCAAACTGATCCAATATTGTATCATTGTAAACATACATTTTCATCGTCAATATTATGGTAAACTTTCAAAAACAGGCCAATTGCCAATTCGAGCATTTCTTGATCGGACTCGTGAACAATAATCTCAACCATTGGCTTGATGTCAAGTTTACACTCCTCACTCCAGCGTCCATAACCGAACAACTCTGTGCATGCTTTCATCGCCTATATGCATATTGACACTAAGTGAGTTGAATGTCAACCATTTGATCAATATCAATCATGACTTGCCGCCATTTTGACTTGACGGTTTGGTGATTGCATGAGTTGTGAGAGTTGGTTGCTTAGTCGATGTGATACTTTAAACCGATAATCACTGTATAAAATACCCAAAAACACTGTAGTAAACTCCATTACTTTGATCTACACAACACATGTTGATTAGTTTAGTCATGAACAACAATCCATTATTGTTACAATATATGAATACCTGTAAACTGGGTCGATTATACTCCAAATACTTGGTTATGATATCTTGCAGTTCAATACTCTGTAAGTGCTGCACTACATTTGTATATCATGCCATTTCAAACCAACACAAAGTCAGCAATGGTTTGAACTCATCAATAATCCAACTGCTATTAAACTTACTGTAGTCTTGTTGTTTCAACTCCATTATCAAGTCAAGCAGTTTATACCATATTTCATCAGCCTTGTGTAGTTGAGCATCCGTTGTTAATAGTTTCAAATCTTCCAGGTGTTTGATCAACTCTTTCATGATATCATTCGACTGCATGTTTGATAAAATTAGTAAAGTTGAATTTTGATTTGACAATTTCATTCATGCGAATGTCCAACAATTTCCAAGAATTGTTTATGTTTGGATTGTTGTAAAACACACAAACGAGTTGTTCCATTTTAGTATTGTTTTGATCAGTTTTTTGTAAAAAAATTGGATTGTTATCAAACATGCATTTAGAAATACTGTAAATTAATATTCTGAATGTGATCGTTGTAGATTTGGTTTAATAAACAAGTTAGTTTACTACAACACATGGTAATGGATTACTAAACATCATCATAAATCAGATGGACTGGAGTGGAATGAAATGAAATCAATGACAATCGCATTACAAACAGTGTGTTGTGATTAAATCATCGAGTATTTCCAAATACAAACTTGAATGAAAAGTCTTGCCACAATACTGATCAACTGTATTACTGTTTACACTGTGGTATTATTGATGTATTGGAATATTTGATGTTCAGATACACAATGATAATGGTAGTACAAATCATGGTAGTTGTACAAACCAAACGTGATTAAAGCCAATAATAATGTCAGACAAGATTGGATAATGAATTAGCGTGTAAATCATCAACATTGACCAAGATTGATTGAAATGGTGAGATTGAATTGGATGGTGATGAACAGTCAGTGTCATGAACACTGTTATTCAGTGGCCCATTTGACGTCAATACGACACTACCAATACCATGCTGCGTAATACCACACTACATATATTACATTGCACACTGACAATACAACACTAATTGACCAATATCAAACCAGTTGATGTCGCAATCTACATCCGACCTTGAACAAGTGTACTGCTCCGTTTGTTGTACAATACACGACATGGTCAGTTGGTGGTATCATGCAACTGACAAATGATTGTAAGTATGGCTGATAGTTACAATCAACACTGGTTGTTATCATGTCATTGATGTATCAATCAACAACCCAATAACTGTTGGTGTAATACCCAACACAGTATACACAAACATGCAGTACACAATCAATGATATGGTTGTTGACCCATTCACAATACTCGATAAATGCCAATACATCAGAAAGCTTAAATTTATTCAAAATCATCAATCCAAATCCGGCTCTTCAAACTCCAAACCATGCTTTCTCATAAACCTTTTCAACTGTTGTCTGATAGTGGATACTCTATCTCTTACCTGTTCATACTCTTGTTTCAATTGCTTTTCAACCTTTGGATCGTACCTTAATCCAGATATCTGTTCACCTTTTTCTAACGCTGACCATTGTTTGAATCCAAGAGCCATAGATCCATAATATTCTTTGCGTTTTTTGTTTCGTAATTCTTTAGACGCTACAAGCTTTTGTTTTAAACTATCAAAGGTTTTCTGATCTTTTTCACTTAATTCAGTCACTTGATTTGAAGCAGTATTGCCTGGCTCGACTTTGTCCATTGGCTGTTGCTGGTTTTGGTTGGAAGTACTTGGGCTGGGCTGATCAATTGGTTGTGTTTGACCTCGTTTGGGAGTGCTCGGTCCAGCTACATCTGTTGGTTGTTGTTGGTCTTGGTCGAAAGTGGTTAAATCAATTATGCGTTTTCGGCCTTGTTTGAGAACATTTGGACCAAATACAATCACAGTTGGTCGCTGGTTTGGACCGGGAGTATTTGGATTGGGCTGATACATTGGCCGTTGTTGGATTCGGTTGTGAATACTCAAATCCATTGATTCTTGCTGGTATTCATTGGAAGTGCCTGGATTAGGCTCATTGGTTGAAACGGACACTTGACTGGAAGTGCTTGATGCTTGTGGTGAACGATCGTTATCAGCCGGTATCAATATTGCATTGGCAGTTGCTGCTACAGTCAGTACAAATAAAATATCAACCAATTTCATCAGATTGGTCAATGGGTTTAAACGACTAGTAGAAAGTAGTGTTGAGACTGGTGTCGATTAAAATATTGAACGTAATCGATCGTATTTATATTTTTGTATAGTAAACCAACCCTAACCCTTTTAGGTTAACCAACAACACATGATCACTTGATTGCTTGTAATGAGCAACTGTCAAACTAGACAGTGTGGTGCTCCCTATCCACAACATCATATTAACCAATTTGATTTCGCGCCAATTGAACTATGCTTTTATGACCCTTTGATCAGGTATATTGAAAAGCACACCCTTCATGAGTGTTGTGTAACCGCAAACGCTTCGTTTTACAACCATATTCATCATGCAATGACTGTGTTATTCATTGCAACATACAATAGTTACACATTCAGTTGGTTGTTACTACACATTGACTGCATTGATTGTTCCAAATACAACAACCATCATATGACACACAATCAGACTATAGTGTTGAATCTACACCTTGTGCACTCTTAGTAATCATACACTGTACGATCACCAGGTTTGAACCCACATTCATGTATTGTGTTTGACTGTCAATATTGTCAATACAACTCTGTACACACATTTGTTGTATTTTGAATCATGGATACGATTACAATCTAGTTCAACAACAATGATGATACATGTCAGTAATGCAACTGTTGTTTGCATGTCAATCACCACCAACAACACCACTGTATTGTCAACCAGTCCATGACACTGACTGTTTATCACACACTGACACTGTTATTTAGTAGTCCATTTACATCAATACGACATTACCAATACCAAAGGCGAAATACCACATCACATATATTACATTGCACACTGACAACACAACACTAATTGACCAATATCAAATTGGTTGATGGCACAATATACATCCGACTTTCAACAAGTGTATTGCTCCGTTTGTTGTACAATACACGACATGATCAGTTGGTGGTATCATGCAAGTGCGATTGGTAGTTGCAAGTAAAACCAGTTGTTATCAGGTCATTGATGTATATGGAACAAACCATGTCAATGTATCAATCAACAATCCAGTAACTGTTGATGTAATACCCAACACAATACACAATCAATGATATGGTTGTTGACCCATTCACAATACTCGACAAACACCAGCATCAAAAAGTTTAAATTTATTCAAAATCAAATTTATTGACACATTATCAATCTGAATCTGAATCCGAATCCGGCTCTTCGAATTTCAAGCCATGCCTTTTCATAAACGCTTTCAAATCATATCTGACACTGCATACTTTCATGTTTGCCTTTCTACACTCTTTTTTTAATTTGATCTCATCTTCTGGATCGTACTTTAATCCAGATATATGTTCACCTTTTTCTAACGCTGACCGTTGTTTGAATCCAAGAGCCATATATTGATGATATTCTTTGCGTTTTTTGTTTCGTATTTTTTTAGACACTACAAGTCTTTGCTTTATGCGATCAAGAGCTATTTGATATATTTGGTGTAATCCAGTCACTTGATTTGAACTAATATTGGCAGACTCGTTTTCACTCATTGGTTGTTGTTGGTCTTGTCTGGAAGTGCTTGGATTAATTATAACAAATAGTGGTCCCCAATATTCGTCAGAAGTGCTTGGACTGGATTCATTAATTGGGTCTTGACTGGGAATATTTGGATTAATTATATCAAATAATGGTTTCCAGTATTCGTCAGAAGTACTTGGACCGGGTTGATCAATCGGCTGTTGCTGATCTTGGTTGTAAACTTTTGAAATGACTGCATCAATTATTTCTTGCCAGTCTTCATGAGTCCTTGAGCCGATTTCATTCATTATGAGTTTCCAGTATTCGTTGGGAGTGTTTGGAATGGGTTGGTTCATTGGTTGTCGTTGGATTTGACTGGAAGTGCTCGGACTGGGTTGATCAGTTGGTTGTTGCTGGTCTTGGTTATCAATATTTGAATTGACTGCATCAATCAACTCTCTCCAGTCTTCCGGAATGCCTGGATCGGGTTTATTGATTATATTTTTCCAAACTTTTTTGGAAATGTTTGGACCCAGTTCACTAATTGGTCGTTTTCGACCTCGTCTGGAAGTGCTTGGATCAACTACGTCAATTGGTTGTTGCTGGTCTTGGTTGGGGTTTTTTGAATTGATTATATCCATTATTTCTTGCCAGTCATCGTCGGGAATTTGTGGATTGGGCTCATCAGTTGGACCAGACACTTGACTGGAAGTGCTTGGACTGAGCTCATCAATTGGTTGATGTTGGTCTTGACTGAAAATGCTTAAACCAAGCTCATCCATTAGGCTTTTCCAGTCCTGGTCGGAAATGGCTGGATTAGGCTCACTGGTTGAAACGGACACTTGACTGGAAGTGACTGATGCTTGTGGTGAACGATCGTTATCAGTCGGTATCAATATTGCATTGGCGGTTGCTGCTACAGTCAGTACGAGTAAAATATCAACTAATTTCATCAGACTGGTCAATGAGTTCAAACAATTGATGGGAAAATAGAGTGCCGAGACTGATGTTGATTAAAAGACTGAACTCAATCGATTGTATTTGTATGTTTTGTATAGCAAACCAACCCTTTTGGTTAACCAATATACAGGGTTACTTGATTGCTTGTAGTGAGCAACTGTCAAACTAAACAGTGTGGTGCTCCCTATCCATAATATCATATTGATCAATTTGATGATCATGTCGATTGAATTATGCTTTTACGACCCTTTATCAAATTTCTTGGAAATCACCCTTCATGAATGTTGTATAACCGCAAACGCTTTGATTTACAACCGTATTCATGTCAAATGGTTCACTCCAGTATTCATCCGCAATAACTTTATTCTGTGTTGCAATATACAATGATTACTACACATTGACTGCATTGCATGTTTGATATACAACAACCATCATATGACACACAATCAGACTATAGTGTTGAATCTACACCTTGTGCACTTTTAGTAATCATACACTGTACGATCACCAGGTTTGAACCCACATTCATGTATTGTGTTTGACTGTCAATATTGTCAATACAACTCTGTACACACATTTGTTGTATTTTGAATCATGGATACGATTACAATCTAGTTCAACAACAATGATGATACATGTCAGTAATGCAACTGTTGTTTGCATGTCAATCACCACCAACAACACCACTGTATTGTCAACCAGTCCATGACACTGACTGTTTATCACACACTGACACTGTTATTTAGTAGTCCATTTACATCAATACGACATTACCAATACCAAAGGCGAAATACCACATCACATATATTACATTGCACACTGACAACACAACACTAATTGACCAATATCAAATTGGTTGATGGCGCAATCTACATCCGACTTTGAACAAGTGTATTGCTCCGTTTGTTGTACAATACACGATATGGTCAGTTGGTGGTATCTTGCAAGTGCGATTGGTAGTTGCAAGTAATACTGGTTGTTATCATGCCATTGATGTTGGAATATCCAGACAGATATCCTTAAGCGGTAACCTATGGCAAAGCTAATTCTATAAAAAAGCACCAACTTAAAATCCCAAACAATGGATGGTATGGATGCTGCATAAACTAACAAGCATTGTATAACAAATAAGCTATACGCAAGGTGAAACTTATTTAAGGCGATGACTATCGTTCCCTTTATACAAGAACTGGGAAGCTTAGGACCCTCAACGACGAAGCTTAGAGTGAAGATCTTATATCTCCACTCCCTCCCTTAACTACTTCTTATTTTACTATAAAAGCTAGAATGCTTACTTTTATCAATAAACAACTCTTCAAACTATTTCATCTGTCCAACTACTTTATCAAACCTTTTCACTACTCTTGAAAAGACTAAGTTTGCTGATCTTGATTTAAAGTGCGACATACATTACACTTCTGATTTGTTCTCTTCTGATAACTACTAACAGTTACAGATTATATTTTATCTACTTTACCTACTATACTACATTTTAAAACAAATCACGAAGCTCCAAATATTCTGACAGATCAAACCATATCAAATATGTTGAAAGTGTATGTAATCATTCAGATCCGAGTTGGTACAAACACGATCATAAGAATGATGTATATTGCACAATGGTGTTTGTAATAATATGCATGTGATTGAATGCAAACTGGTGAACTAGTAGCAAACAAAATAATGACAGATGGTGATTGAAAGTGCAACTAATCATGCAGTGTATATGGTGTTGTGGTGTATACTGTCAGAATATTTCGAGCTTCGTGATTTGTTTTAAAATGTAGTAAAGTAAAAAGTAGAATATAATCTGTAACTGTTAGTAGTTATCAGAAGAGAACAAATCAGAAGTGTAAGAGGAAGTTGCACTTTAAATCAAGATCAGCAAACTTAGTCTTTTCAAGAGTAGTGAAAAGGTTTGATAAAGTAGTTGGACAGATGAAATAGTTTGAAGAGTTGTTTATTGATAAAAGTAAGCATTCTAGCTTTTATAGTAGTTGATTGTTTGTGTCTTGTGATACGAACAATTAACCCGTTAAATGATGGGAGGGGTTGTAAATGAAAGTTACAACCAATAGGATTGTTTTATGAAGTTAGTAAATTTAATAATGACATCGTCTACCCGTTTATAGAAAGCTCGAGTCCTAGAAATGAGTGTAATGGAGTTACTGTGCACATGGATTTTTGGTGATGAAAGGATTTAACTTGTGTTTAAGTTGGCGCTTTTTAGAACTAGCTTTGCCACAGGTTACCGCTTAAGAGTATCCGTCTGGATATTCCAACAAAAATAAGATCAGATTGTTAATTTAGCAAAAACTACAGCACTCAGTATTCCCGTGTGGTCCCCCACCACAGTACTGACTGAGCCATCACAAGCTTGACTTCGGAGATCGAACGGGATCCGGTATTTTCTTGTGTGTATGGCCGTAGATGTTGATTGAAACCAATTATACGGTAATATTCATTAGGTGTGTTTGTCAAATACATTGTGATTTGGTGTCAGCACTCGTGAATCAATACTACATGACATTCTCATCACCAATGATCATCTGTTTTATGTTGGATCTGAACATTGACAACTACACGTTTGGTGATTGACAATCATATGAACAACCAGATGATTCCATGACACCGCATATCAAACTTGATGTTCAATACTCCAATCATGTCGATAATAGTTGAATATTGTGCAGGTAGATTGTGTAATTGATACTCTCGACTCAATCAGTTACTTTGCACTTGTCATCCATGCTAGCCTTTTCAACAGTCATTGCCATTGATTGATATGTTTAAACAGAATTCTGAGATCGATCATCAGTAATTGTGATAATGCAGCCTATACTTGTTTTGATTGGTACAACTCTACCCAATGGTGGACATATTGTATTACTAGTCAATGTCTTGTAAAAACAGCATATTCTGGGCTGATGGATCTGAATGTATTTCATTCAAGCCTTTACTTGATATTGAATGGATTTATTTGCTGAATAAACTCGAATATCAAAGCATAGATAACTCCATGCAAGTGTGCCGTGTTCATTCAAGGTTAAACTAATGACATTACTTGTCACAAAGCCATACACACCAAATAGCCGTTACCAATACAAATTGTTTATACATTGTTACAATATACTTTTATTCAATAAATTGTAGAAACAATTACTAGACTTGAACATCTAGTCTTGGTTCCAATTTTTTCCAATGTAGATGCAGCAAATGTCCATGCGAGTTCATCCAGAAGTAGGCTTAGGACCACGAGTAGTGGTGGATCTTTTTGTGGTAGATTTCTTTGTAGTAGATCTTTTTGTAGTAGATTTCCTTGTGGTGGTAGCGCGTGCTGTTGTTGTAGGTCTTGCAGTAGTGGCAGACTCTGTGGTGGTAGCTCCTGTTGTGGTAGCTCCTATGGTTGCAGACTCTACTGTGGTAGATTCTACTGTGGTAGCAATAGAAACACTGCTAGACGATGAAGTACCACCACTGCATTCATCAGGAACTGAGAAATCGTTATTGAACTTGGCAGCCTTGACTCCCAGACCGCGTTTGGCGAATCCTTTCCAGATCTCGCACTTGTTGGCACCATTGTAGCGAGCAACATCAGATGCAATAAAGGCATCACGAGCATCAAGGAAAGTGGGATGGCATGGCTGAAGCATCATACCACCAATCATATTCTGCATAGTAATAATGTTACCAGCCTTGCCCTTGGCATCGTAAAGATTGGTGGAGAATCCGTTCTTGGTGACCAAGTTCCAGTAGACTTCCCAAAGCATAGAGGCCCACACTACACCCATATCATGAGAGCTTTGGAGAGTTTTAACATCGGCATACGTCAAGGGATTGACTTTCATGTCAGTAGTGTAAGGATGTGAGCGAATACCTTTAGGCGAGTTGGCAATATATGTACCCATGACAATTGGAGTGTCGGCTTTGTGTGATTCTTTGGCAGTTATGATTATTGCAAATATATCGGACCAGCCTTCGTTCATACCACCAGGTTCACCTTTAAACAAACATCCAATTGTTGCAGGTCCACCAGTCAACCGATTTGAAATACCGTGTCCATATTCGTGCAAAACGACTTGAGTGTCCAAACCACTATTGCGATTGGGTTCGGCAGAAATGAATCGAAACATTCTCATTAAACCAGGTTGACCATCAGCTGGAGTTTGAAAAAAGGCATTTCCAGTACTCGAATCATCTAGGACATTGATGGTAACTGCATCGTTACCCTCACCACCTTTTCCAAAGTTGTCATTTTGGAAATTACCAGCAGCCTCGTTGAAACCATACTGGTATGTGATATCGTGCATTAGGTTAGCAACGTAGAACAGATTGACAGAAGCTGCTTGCATGTTGTCTGGATCGGTAACATCAGCAGTGGAATTGAACTTGGTGTTGAATACACCGTCAACACCGGTTCCCGGAACTGGTGGATCCTTTCTTAAATCAAGAGCATTAACGTTGTTACCCTGAGTAGTAGTTCCGTCAGTCCATCCGTTAGGTGACGATGGTTTGTATTCTGGATCTTTGATGTTGGTGAATCCACCTTCATTAGGGTTAATATTATCAGGTGAAATGGCTTTGTATGTTGCACGATGAGCAAAATCAACAGCCTGGATCAGTTTGCCTAATATCAATCCATTTACATTCAGATTAGTACCGACTCTATAAAAATCAATATCTGAATCCGAAATACCGTACCAGTGTCGGCATCTGCCCAAACTTGGATCCATGAAATAACATCCTTGTCGCGAAGCTGGAATTTATAAGCATACACAAGCGTGCCATCAGCCTGTTGAACATACTCGAGCTCATGTTTAAACTCAGAGTAAACTGGCAGACCCTTGGCTTTGGATATGGTATCAGCAACCTGTTCAAACGTCAGTTTGGCTTTGGGTTCTGCGACTGAAAGCTCACTTTTGGCAAAATGGCTTTCAGTACCAAACGAAGTCGAATACGAGATAATTTGGCCGTCTTGGATATGGACTGCAGCTTGGTGATTGGATACACGTGCATCATTAACTAGATGTGCACCATATACGTGAGTTATGCCAGCACTGTCTGTAAAGTTATTGTAAACCTTGAACTCGTTAGGTGTGAGATTGAGTTTGTCACAGAGATACGCAACACCAGTCTTGACTGGATCGGTATTGGACGGAGCCATGAGGCTGAATGAATGTTCATAAGGAATCTGCTGGTACGTGGATTCGGGAAAGTAGAATGGAAGACTGTCAGAGGCGTCTTGTGTGGACAGGGTGGTTGGAACCGCAAAAACTGCAGATGTGGCAAGAGCAAGAACGAGAGAAATGGTAGAAACAAACATTTTAAACAATATTTTCAATATCTATAGTGTGAATGTAGCAAGTATAAGATACAAACTGGTACAATGATAGAGGTTGGTGAGATTGGTTCCATACCATTTCACGTCATTTTATATCTTGAATCTACAAAGCATGCTACGCAGCAATTTGATAGTTAATTGAATATACATGTGCTAATCAAGAAAAGCATGCCAATATCTATGCAAATGCATGTGATTCGCGAATTACATGTATTCAAGCCATACATTTAAAACGGGTATATTGCTTTTGATTGATTGCATAAATGACAAATTTTCGAGTTTCATTGCAATTGTATTTAAATGTAGCACCGATACCCGTTTTCAATTGTAAATCAGTTAAACTCTAGGAATCAATGCAAAATGGACTAACTGGAATTTGTTTCATCATATACAACTTGCATACACTCCAAACTTGTGCATTGCGAGTCAAATGCCGAATTCAGACAGATAAAACTGGGCTGTTGGTATCCATTAATGAACTGTGATAATATCGAATGAGTAATTGACATATACATGAAACGTCCATTTCACACCACTAACAACCTTGTTTATATTGGCTGTATGCATGTTCTGTATGTGTTGAAGCAAGACTCATTGGAGCATGAATCAATCGAGTACTCAAAAGTGGACACACTATTAGTGGCTTGAGTTACTTGAATTGATGGCATGCCTGTTTATATACCAAGTGTGTTATATCACCATGCCATTTGTAATCATGAATGATTGCAATATGCCTTGTTCATTTCAAGTTCGAAATGACTAGATTTTGAGTTGATAAGCAAAAGCAGGATGATAGTAAGCAGGCGTGTTGATTGGCTACAACTGTATAGCCAACTTGGAAATCGGATAAAATGTATAGCATTAATTATGGGCAATGGAGCAATACGACAAATGAAAAGGGTATTGTTGAGCAAGCAATCTCGACAAAACATTAAACTGGTAATGCATCAATTGCTTGGTTTCAGATATGAGTTGTATAATTGAAATGGTCAGTGTCATTCCAATCTTGGACTATCCAAAGCATTGCAAAGAGTCATGGCAACAGTCATGAAAATGACCAGTCAAACATATCTGACCATTACAAGATGGTGTTGCATTCCGATTGTTGCAGAGGCAGTGGTCGATGATGTTAAAAAGAATCAAATATGCAGAATGTGGGTTCACCTGCAAATGTGGCTGCATTGTTCATGGATAAATGAACAGTATCATACATGTGATGGACACGACAGCTGTCAATGAATGCCATCATGTTATTGTATTATAGTTGATCATTCGATGGAATAAATGATTGCGATCGCCATTCCAATTGTTGGTGTGGTACAGAGTTGCAGATCTCAAGTCAATGACTACATGTGTTGTGATGTAATACTTGATGATATATTGTGGTTGAACATGTTATGCATGTCAGTAGTCGAATAAGTAATCGTGTACAATGGTCTAGCAGTAGCCTATTCAAGTATGGTAAATAGTGCCAGTTTAATCACATTAAAGTACTTCCTAAACACATGATACACACTGATGGTGATGGTTGCTGGCAATGTCTCATTTATCTTCATTTTCACGCCCCTTGACTCTAGCTGTAATCACATTTTTAAAACCAATCCAACAAAATATTCAAGTAAAAAATCAAATCGGAGTTACAGTGTTCAATCTGAAGATTGTAATTAAAAATAACAATTTGAGCATTATACGGATTCATTCTGATCAGCAAGTCAATTAAACGGTTCAATTAATTACCAAAACGACATTTTACAGTCGTATTCACGTAGAATGAACCACTTTCTGTATTGATCTTGTAATGACTGGATTTTACTCTCAAATAAACAATCATTGCATATTTGTTGTTATTGGATATTGATTTCTTTTATTGAGGCTCTGTTGTATCCTAATATCAAATGTGTTTGTGATCTAGTTCAAGAGAACAATGATTGCATGTTTCAGGATGCGGCTGTTATCTCCATGCCAACCACCCAATGACAACCTGTTTGGTTTATACAACATAATAATTGATTAAACAAGTGTGGGATTTACTGACACTGTGATGTAGACATTTGTTCAGTTATACAAAATGAGCGTGGAGAAAGATTAGTGAATTGTCAATGAATTCAAAAACAATCTTGTCGAGTAGATTTGATGGAGACTGGCACTGTCATTGCATAAACGGCTGGTTATTGTGCACTGAATCCCTTGTCCTATTTTGGGTGAGCACGCCCGTAAAAGTATCACAATCTAGTACATTTTATCCGATCATCCTTCCTTGTTTTCAAGCAACCCTAAAATCATACATGCACTCGCCCGAGTCAGAGATTGTTTTATCAGGTTTATTGTAAATTGAAAGAGTCGCTTGGACTGGATAGTTGTAAAAAATGATCAAGCAGAAATATAACTAGGTGGTGGGGTACATCTCACACGCTGGTGAGAAGCATAAGGTGATTGACGTCCTCGACCAAGGAGTTTTGGCACGCCGTTCATCAGTAAAAAAGATGATGGAGAAGGTGGAGGAGATGGAATTCCGGATCTCGACCTGGTAGGAATAAATCCTGACATGCTTTTGCTGCAGCCTGAGCTGGAATCCGATGAATTGAAAGCAGTGATGCCCTCTGACATGCCAGAGGATGATTCGTCTGACACGATCCATTCTTCCAGATAGTTCACGCTCTGGGAAGTCGGTTTTAGCATAGATGCAGAGTAGGATCCGCTAGATGACGATGTGGCAGAGTAAGATGAATGAGTTGATGAAGATGACGACATTTTAATTGCAGTTGGCATGCATTCAGAAGCGTGATAACCATCAGTGCCAGTAAAATTGTGGCTTGATTGATCGTCCATCAGGAAATCTTGAAACTGGCAAGATAGAGAGCAGTAAATGTAGCTTGAAGCAATACGCTTCTCGCAAGTCATGCACCATCCAACGTGGTAGTCCATGTTAGGCAAAGTTGATTGGATAAAAAATAGTATTGAAAGAAAGCTTGAAATCCGCAGTAGTCGAGCAGATTTAAAAAGCGGTCAAAGTAGTAGCAAAAAACAAACGAGATTCAGCGAGGCAGTGATGTTAGATTTGAAGAAATTTCCGTAAAAAGTAGTGCGATAGAGGTGGGGCCGAATGTGGCAAGAGAAGTATCTCCAAATCCCAGTTTAGTCGTATTGCTCAAAAGGCGGTGGATAGGTAGTACTAGTATCGCTTGTAGCAGATGTTTCCACAAAGTTCCGAGGTGTCGGTGTAAGAGTGGAGTAAGAGGACAGAGAGAAGGTGAATTCTGTTGATTGTTGAATTTTGAAAGATTGAAAGGGGTGACTTTGGGTAAGATAGGTAATTGGAAAGAGTATGGAATGGAAGTTTGCAAGGTAGAAATGAGCAACAATCCAGTTAGTTATTGGAGAAGTAGGTTGTGATGGAAGCAGACGAGTAACTGATGAAAAAAGCGTAAGCAAATGTGGTTGCTGTTGCGTAGAGGAAAAGGAAGACCAACACGGTTTGCTTTTATAGTTTTGGCTGCTGTAAAATCAGAATCGTGTCATTTTCGGATTCAAACGAATCTAGCGAGTGGTGGCCCTTATCTAAAGCACTTGAATCTCGCTTGCTCCACTACGATTGTTGTGTTTGACTCCATCATGAATATATGAGCACTACTTGGCTCATTAGTATCGTACTATTCGTCATTCTGTAATGAGTAGTGTCATGATGTTTATGCTGCAATGGATATTATGCCATAATGCTGCAATACTGACCATTTTGGCATAGCATATTTGAAGGGTGTTCAGTGACTCGACGGTTACACCATTCTCCGCTCTAAAGGCGTATAAGCACTACTAAGCACGCCATTTTTTATTCTGAACCAAATCAATGGCTTTGAATATTAGCCAATCGTGGTGCAAAAAATAAAATACCTTTTATCTAAATGGTGGGCTTGTCTTCAAACATAGATCATTAAAAGCTGAGATAGGCCTCGTTAGACTCGCCTCACCAACCTACTTTGCTAGCATGGTTGGTATATCCAACGCATGCATTATTGGCAGTAGTATGAAATTGTAGATGATGGGCATTTCAAATGAACAACCCCACCAATCTATCATGGTACATTCTGGATACTATTATACAAGACTCGCAACTATCCTCGAATGATCTACCAGTGTCAAGGTTCTAATAGCAGATAATTACAACCGTATTCACATAAATGGAACACTTCAATAGACACAACATCCATCATACGATGCATACAATCAATCTATAGTTTGAACCTCCCTTTCTACTCTTGGCATAGCTTTACATTACACGATCACCAGATTCATCATTGCAATTCACATGTCAAACCCAACTGTTGTGATACTGCCAGTACAATTGTACACACTCCTTTTTGTGTATCCTAATATCAAATGTGTTTGTGATCTAGTTCAAGAGAACAATGATTGCATGTTTCAGGATGCGGCTGTTGTCTCCATGCCAACCACCCAATGCCATAATGTTTGGTTTATACAACATAATAATTGATTAAACAAGTGTGGGATTTACTGATATTGTGATGCAGACATTTGTTCAGTTATACAAAATGAGCGTGGAGAAAGATTAGTGAATTGTCAATGAATTCAAAAACAATCCTGTCGAGTAGATTTGATGGAGATTGACATTGTCATTGCATAAACGGCTGGTTATTGTGCACAGAATCCCTTGTGTCCTATTTTGGGTGAATACGGTGATGGACACATCTATGTAGAATACTTTCCTCGGGTATAAATTGTATTGACCAATCAAATCTTTGGGTAGCCAGGCGTGTATTCAATAATGATAATAACACGTTGCTAAATTCTACGGCACTTTGAACTATCTTGAATTCCATTAGATTTGCTGGTCGAGGTTTTAAAACTTTACAGATTAAATTATTCAATCTTACTGCCTAAACATTTGTCGCATATGGGCATTATCAAGCATTTGGATATTATTCCTTCAATTGATCCGTCACTTTCATCATCAGAGTTTATAGTGGAAGCAGGATGGGGCACTATCTCGTCCATTGTTGGTGTAATCCGTCTTGCAACATCCAAGCCACTTAAAGAAGCGAAAATTATACTTGAATTTCAAGGTGAATCAGAAACCTTTTGGGTTGGTTCCAAGGTTCGCAAACCAGGCGATCCTCCTGGAGAGACCTTTGCTCGTCGATTTCAGCTTGTGACAACTGTTGTTAGAGACTCAAAAGAAGCTTTAGAACCCAACGAGTTTGGATCCATTACATTGCCATTTAAAATCAATTTACCAGCACAAGGATTGCCACCTTCGTTTACTGATTCCAGAGGATGTATTAAATATAGGTGAGTACCTTGAATATGGCTTTATATTATCCCAACCTCATTACTGGTATATGCATTTTGGCACTCTTGTCAAATATTCCATTTTACGTGAATACTACAGTAATCTAGCGTTGGAACTGACCCACATTATTTGATATACTTTTTGATTGTATTTAGTCTCAAAAGTACATTGACATGGTCAGAAACCTTTCATCTACTAGCGCCAACGCACGTGGCTAGAGCTCTCATAAAAATTGTCATGCCTCGTTCGCATCGACTAAAACTCCTTCAAACCCCATCTACTTTGGAATTTGATACGGTTTACGATCCCAACAAGTGCACTTGCGCCATTCGATTGCCGACACGTGTGTATATTCCTGGACAGCAATTCACGATACAATTTGCAATTCCCTATGTGCCAGCCGGAAGGTCCGTTTCTGCTGTTCAAGCATCAATAGAAGCCAATACAACCTATAGATCGGTTACAAGCGATGGCACCAAAAGAAATAGAAATGCTGTTGTATGGAACCCCTTTCCACTTGCATTTGGCAAGGAAATGCCTGCACCAGATGAACAGGACACGTCTGACCTTGCCCATCCATCAGTGTTTTGTGGTACCATTCAACTTTCCACTGAAGCAAAATATCATCAACCTACGATTGAGAGCTCCATTATTTCATCACGCTCAGTCGTCAAATTTCAGGTATATTTGGATGGAAATGAAGACCCTCATGTGGCTTTTGAAACTGCAATCGTAGTGATTCCCGCAGATACGATCAAGGAAACTGCAGCATTGAAAGCTTTGGAGATTGCACGGGAGCAGATTCGGCCAGCACATGAGATTGCAGCCAGCACATCTACTCATCTACATGCCCAACATGTCAAAAAGCCAAATTTCACCACTACAGCTACCATCACAACACGTATTCCTGTAAACTCTACTAGTGATGATGGTGCACCCATAACTCCATCGAGTGGTCCTGCAAGTCCAAGCTTATATGGCGTCAACTGCTTCCCAGAAAGTCATGGTACACACTCGGTCCACTCCAGTCGTAACACTGTCGCTAGTAGCAATTCTGGCATGTATTCTTGTATATCTTCCGGAGATGGTTTCGAAAACCATATTCCCACAAGGTTCGCATCTCGCAAATATTCTGTGTCGTTGAGAAGTTTAGACGCGCAAGATTCGCAACATAGTGATACCGACACACGCTTACTAAAAAATCGGTCTGCTATTCAAGACAGTGGATACGAGTCAGTGCGATTGCCATCCATATCAAAGGATCCGACTAGTCCTCTTGATATTCAAACCCCAGACCATTCTTTCGCAACACAGCGTATGAGTTATGAGGATGACAAAGACTCCAATAACTTGATTACTATAGATGAGTTGGTAGGTCGACTCTACTCTTCAAGAAATGGTGTTATCTTGAATTATATTTGAGATTGAATTCATTTTGGACTCTAGGTTGAGCAATTGGCAGACGTCAATTTGACTCGCAAAGATGCTGGAGATCCCATGTTTTTTAAAAAAACAATTCCAACCCAAGTAAGTCTTGTATGACTATAAGCATCAAACCGTGTATTGAACAATACGTTCGAGTTTTTCATGTCAATATTTACTCAAGAGTACATACGGCTTGTAAATATAGATGCCATCTGATGCTAATGCTCCTGGTAAAACCATTGTCAACAAGCTTATTGCCAGGCTTGATTCTCAACATTCCATGGGATTTTACGAATCCAAAGTAAACACTGCTCCATCAAATGTAGTAAACGAGACTACAGATTCAACTTCAGATGATGAAACTAGCACTTGCAAATTAAAAAATCTTTTAGATGATCTTCAAGACCATCCAAGCAAGTCTTTGATCAAGCCACACAATGCGAGTTTACCTAAATCTCAAGTATTGCTTAGTAAAACACGATCCACGCAAATACAACAGATTGATAGTTTATTGGAATCGTTGTTGGCATTCGAGCAAGTGAATCAAACTATTGAATATGATGATGCTGCTTTTCCAGCATCATTGGCATCAAAGCAACAGATTTCAAAAGGCACAGACTCTACACAACCAAACAACAACAGCTTTCACCAACCCAAAACTAACAATCCCAAAGCGGTATTTAAAGAATTCGATTTGGAAATTCCTCTTGCCGTTCCACAACTTTCATTACAACGACCATCAATAGATATTATAGGTGGTCCGCGTACCTCGGCAGATCTGCGTTATTTTAACCAAAAGTTTTTGGGATATCCACAATGCCAATCGCCATTGTCTGTGAGTCATGGTGAAATGCAAACAATGACTGCACCCACCTCCACTTTATTTGATGCTTTAAATAATCTGTCATATGAACAAAAAAAAGCTGCCAAGTTTATTGTCATGGTTTTGCATACTCCACATCAACCCGATGAACTGCCACTTATTGTTGGTGATATAGTGTGTATTCGCAAAATATTTCGTGATGGATGGTGTTGGGGATACAAAGTGTTGACCAAATCCGAGGGATTGTTCCCAATCAAAAAAGTCCAGCTATACGACCCATATCAAATGGATCAATTGTAATCTAACTCTAAATGTTTAATTTTTGGAATTAAAACGCATTATCTTGTATTCAAAATTTATTATTGCTGACCAAACGGATTTATTTGCTGTTTATTTTATTAAGATAAGGTCATATGCCAATACAGTTGGGCCACAATAATAAATCAAATTTAGAGTCGATGATGATTGTAATCCAAAAACACTAGACTATGAATTATTTGAATCGATTGCATTCACAAAGTTTAAATATTCAAAGATACACTTGAAATTTATTTATAAATTGCCAGGTATTATAGAAACACTCCTTGTAAAATTACATTAGACGGGATCTAGAACCAATGACTGTATTGTGCAAAGAGCTTAAAGAGGTTGTCAAAACCGAGTTGAGAGAATTTTTGTCTGGATATTTGCGAGTTGTAGATTTGGATTTGACAAGCGTATTCAATGAGCTGCTTGATACAAATCTGATATCATGTGGTGACTCCAAGAGTAATGAATTCATGGATCCAGATGTTGTATTGTTGAGATTGTAATTATTTTTACGAATGCGTGATCCGGTTTGACGACTGTTTATAGTTGATTTTTGATTGGAGAGAGACTGAGAATGATCACGTAATTGACCAAAACGCTCATCTAGATTATTGATCTTGACTGGAACATGCTGTTTTGTTGAGCGTGGAAAAGATGAGACTTTGTCAAGCAAAGAGTAATGCAGTGTGCACGGATAAGATTCGGCCAATATTGCTAGACATTACATTTCAGAATCAGTCAATATTAAAAACATGCCATATTATACCAAAATATCGAAAAATTTCAAATCAGTCAACATACAGGTATTAGTTGAGCCAAAAGATAAATTGGGCAAACTTTTTAAATCAGATAAGCACTTTTTGATATCAAACGCAGTATTTCCTACATCTTTCTTGTAGCATAGCGTTATACCAGATTCAGAACCAGATTTTTGATAATCAATGCGTTCGTTCTTTGAAACGATCAAGCCATTTGAATCCATAGCACGACGAGCATCCAGCACAGTTTGATTTGCCAAAGAGTTGACTTTGGACTGTATATGAGGATTATCACGCTTTTGTCGCAGCTTCCAACTTTCAATTTTGCGTTGTTGGTCTAATTCCTGGTGTTTTTTGCGTTCAAGGTGCTCTTTTCTTGCTTTTGTTGAATTGGTTTCAGACGACCAAGTTACTGGTTCATGCATCAAGTACAAATATTTTGATAGCTGTTTTGTGTCGGATGGAGGAAAAATGCGTTCATACTGGCCCATGTGAGCATCCTCAAAGCCGGTGAGTTGAGCAAGACAATCTTGATTGTACTTTTTAATATATGCTGCAAGTGCTTCTTGGCATGCCTGCAGACGTTTTGTGCAAACTGTAGATTTCCGACGACCAGATATAGATTCCTTTAGGGGTGAATATATTGGGTCAACCAATATACTCGTGTTTTTGGTAGTATGGCAAATTTCATTGTCGGTACTACTGTCTTGTGTGGAATTCGATTCATTGTTTTGTATAGATTCTTGGATTAGTTGAAAATGGCTTTGGTTTGATTGCTGGCTGATATGTCCAGTTTCGTATTCTACAGATCCAGCCGTGCCTGGTCTAGATGACTTTAGGGCTGCGATTGGATGTGGTTTAAATGGAAAATTGGCTGCCATTTGTATATCAAAAAACTTGTTTGAATTAAATGATTGCATTTCCAAACAACCTTGAGCCATTACTGGTTCTTCAGCATTCCAGTTTGGGGTTGTAAAACAGGATGTGGTGTCGTGTGGATCACTTGAGCTCGAGTCTTCACAATCAGAATTGTCAATGGGTGAATCTCCAGATTGTTGCATTAATTTGGACACATTCTTCAAAGTATGAATTCCTTTTACGCAAGATGAACCGGTTGCTTGTTTGAGAGAATTTCCTTTACAGACAGCCAAAGTTTTTGAAACAGGTTTTTTGCTCAATGTAAAGGATGCATTCAAATCATTCACGGGCAGATCTGGTGCTTTCCACAATCGGGACAAACTCTGGGCCTTTTCTTTTTTTTGCAGCTTTTTGGTCATTCCAGCACTTAGATTTAACAAGTTTAGCGCATCAGTAATTACTCCGGATTTAATCTCACGATCGAGTGGACTATCGCAGGTGAAGCTTGGCGAGTGGTTGACTTCAAGCACCCACGGTTTCATTTTCGAATCTAAAAAGATATCGAATCCAAGAATTTCAAAGCACTGGCTTCCCATTCCCGATAGTGGCAAAGCTGTAGGTTTGTGAGTTGGGGTTGAAAATGATGAATACGACGAATGGGTAGAGTGTGCTGACGACAGATTAGAACCTGTAGGTTTTTTTAGATCTTGGAATTCGATCATGGACGAAGGAAGCCAAGACTTTAGCCCACGACTGATTACTGGCTGTACAACCAGAATTGTTTTTACAATTATATCGCATATTCGATTCCACAATGCATCAGTGTCTACACCACGAGATTCAGCCAAGAACTGTAATACAGCCTTCAATGATCGCTTACTGCCATTCATATCGTCCACTACAAATTTTTCCGAGTGCTTGTTTATGGCATAGTTTGTCAAATGCATTCGTGTGTTGTTTATATTTTTATCTGTGGGTGGATGGTATAGATCTGTTGCGAATCGGGCAAGACCGTCGCGATAAACAAAGACCCGAAGTGGGGAGATGGATGTCACCAAAACGTAAATACGGAGATCAAACTTGAATCCATCAATAAGGCATGGCTGGGATAAATAGCTCTGAACAATCAATCCACCAGATATGTTTGGATTGTTTTGTATAGATGCATTTGGAGCTGGATTAGACCCACTGGTGCTTTGTGATTCGTAAAGTTGATCAGGTGTTTTGAATAAAAATATCCCCTTTCCTTGGCACCCATGGTCAGGTTTTGCAATGTATGGTCCTGACCTTGATTTTGATTTATGAAACAGATTGAATTCACCCCAGTCATTTGGAAGGATCCACGTTTTTGGGAAAAAGTTGTAGTCTTTTGGAAAGATGCGTGATAAACGAGTAAAGTTGCGTGCAAGATGGTCCTTTCGACAGATTTCATGCATTCCTGGAAAATGATTGATTCTCTGGTTTAATTTCCTAAATCATTAAAACAGTTGGAGCCATTTAAAAACGAATAGTATTTAGCTGATGAATTAAAATGACAAAAGACTATTCAACACACATTTCAAGTACTCGCTCCATAGATACGCCTGTATCTATCCAAAACAAATGCCATGACAATGGATCCTCGACGAGTTTGCAGCCAAACAAAGTTGCACATTCTTTTACAATATCGTATTTGCAGTTTGTCAGGTTAATAGTCAATGGAGTAGTTTTTTTCGTGACAGCACGTCGTCGTTTGGGCTTATCAGAGTGATTCAGTAACTGCGAATTTGGTGTGCTGGTTGAATACAGTTGGTTTGTATTTACAGAATTTTCAGTAGACAGAATGACAGTGTATTCATCTGGTTGACGAGATAAACACGATGACATGACAAGATTCACGAGTCGAGTTTGAATTTTCCAGTAAAAACAGTTTTTATACAAAATATGAATTCTTGCGATAAAGCTCTTGTCTAGCAATTCGATAATTTTCTAATTTTTCAAAACAGTTGCACAGGATGTTGTCACAGATCCTTCACAGTCGCATGCTGGTATCGTCGTTGGTAATGAGGAGCAGATGTGCTTCGACCACCACCACAGTTTCTACTATTTCATGGACAGAGTTTTTTGCCATGCGCAAAAACAAGAAACTTGTTGAACGCACTGTGGGTGGTCTTGGTGGAGTTTTTGGTCTCTCGCTTGGTTCATACTATTTCTTATTTGTTGCCGAGTTTGATCCATTTCAGCAGATTTGGGGTTTGGATCCATCAATGCCATACATGCTGGGTGCATTTTCTACAGGAATTGTTTCGGCTGTTGCTGGAAGTCTTGGTGCCAATCAGCTATGGCGACTTATGCGCAATCCGTAAGCTATTTCTACTTCAACATCATGTATAAGTGTATTGCTAATATTATATCTATACGTTGAATACTTTAGATCGATGCTGAGGGCCTTTGATTTGGTGGGTTTCACGAACCGTTTAGATTATATTTAATCCTTCACATGAGCATCTTGCTAGGCCATTCTAATATTTTTACAAATGCATTGATTACTATAGAAGGAAAAGGAGTTTCACCAGCGCATTCTCAGACATAGACCGAAAGAATTGCCGCTATTTACAACTGCATCACCTACCAGACCTCCTACTCCTCCTGATTATTATGGAGAGCACATTTACTCTTTTTCAGGTTATCGAAAATGGATTAGAAGACAGCGTAAGTTTATTGCAGCTACTGCCGAGTCTTCTCCAAAATAAACCCATTTCTGCTTTACTATCCCATGCCCTATATCTGATTCAGCAGTTTATATATAATCCATGACAATTACTACAGCTTGAGTTCAAATTCCCACATAAAACAAATTTGAAGATCAATCAGATAGTGAGCCAACTCCTGCATGACCACAGAATGACAAGATCTTGGAATATATTACAATCAAGCTTATTTGATATCATCCTTTGCGTCTAGATCTTTGCGACGATCGTATGCCAGTTGAAACACTGGACCCAGTACAAACACTCCAAACACATGTGTGAGAATATACCATTTGAACACTTTGGAGATGGACAACTCGGCCCACACTCCCAATCCTAAAATCACCAGCGATTCGACTGCATGAATAACAAATATTGCGAAAAGCAGATTGATGCAGGGTTGATGACCGCCCAATATGCCACGAACAAACTCGAGAGTCGACGGAATCTTGTCAATGTACGCCATGCTGTAGAGAATAGTCCATACAACTGCTGCATAGATCCACATCATGAATGAAGGCACACTAAACTCTTTTTTTTTCAAAGACTCAAATCCAGGAGAAACATAAGACTTGTCTGGTTTCTAATGAATCCGTGGAGAATCGAATAATAAACCTTTGATTAGATGTCAAGATATCTTCAGTTTGGACAGTGCATTAGAGCATGCAACTGTATTCAAAGCAATACCATAGACAAGGCAACTGTTGCCTCATGAACCATTTCTTTCAACTTGGGCTTGATCTGGCTAATACTCTGGACGGGTTTGTCATACTGAATCCTCATATCTATGCGCTCCATCTTGCCCGAGTCGGCATCAATCTCATTATAGCAAAGACTGAATCCTAAAAAAAAGTGTATTGAGTTGAATCCCAATGCTAATATTCTACAGTTGGTACCATCAGTTATTGTTACCAGCATAATCAATATCAGTCAAATGTGCATCTCCAGCACTACGAGCATTAGCAAAGTACTTTGCCAAGAGCTGTAGCGAATGAGTAGTTTTTTCTGTTGAATTCCACTGCTTTACCAAATCATTCTCTTCAGTAGCAGAGAGATGTTCAGTTTGACGACGACGAGACATGACTGAAGTGGGTTGAAGTTGCAATAACTGTTGATGTGGAAAAGAAGTAATTTTCTGCCGTTTTAAAAATCAATCGATTCGCTTGAAACCAGTCAATTGTATGACACATTTTAATACCAATGCTTATCAATTACGACAAGCAGTGCATTGAAGTTGGTTGGTTTCGATACATTCCATTTGGTTGGTTTCGATACATTCCACTTGGCGTCAATCATTTCTATCTTTATTGCTGGATTGAATGGACTGAACGCGACTTTCTCTGAATCATCGCAACTGTTAACCTGAATCTACGTCTTCAAATGGCATCCGTGACTGCTGCTCGAATGTCAACTGCTGTTCCTCAAACAGGAATGAAACAAACTCCAGTTTCATTCAGTATCACTCCAACAAGTTTTCAGCAAATTCCAGAAGGAAAATACACTGCAACAGTATACTCTTTTATTCGAGATGGTCGTTTTCACGATGTCATCAAGATCCTCTCTAATGAAATTCAAGTCTCACCTAAAAGTCGTGCTGCGTTGAGTTTATTGGCTTATTGTCATTACCACGTTCAAGACTTTCATGCTGCTTCCGACTGGTATGAATCATGGTTGGCATACTGTCTTGTATTTTTGTTTGGTATCATTTATCTGACAGTATGTTGTAGCTACGAGCAACTTATTCGTTTGTTTCCAGACGCAGTGGATTATAGATTATTTTATGCCCAGTCGCTCTTCAAATCTGCCAATTATCCTGCTGCTCAAAAGGCGTGTCAGAGTATCGATGCACCTCAACTGGCTGGAAAAGTAGGATCATCATTGTATTCATTCAAGGCTTCAACATTGAACATTCAATACAAAAACACAATTGTATATTAACTACTAGGTTTTTTGTTGAACTCATTAGCTTTTAAAGTTACAGGCTGCCATCAAGTATGAAATGGATGATTTGTCTGGATGCAAAGCCTTTGTTGATCAGGCTCCACAAGACGATCCAGATACGTTGGTCAATCAAGCTTGCCTTTTATTTAAAGTAATTGTAAACTATTTGGTTTATCCATTACACTACTTTGACCGTGTTGATAACAATCAAATCTATTATCATGCACTAGGAATTGAAATATGAAGAAGCGTGCATCAAATACACCGAGGCTTCAAAAATTGTTGGCTATAATGCAGAAATTCTATATAATATTGCTTTATGCCATTACATGATCAAGCAATATGTTCACGCACTTAAACATATTGCTGAAATCATTGAAAAAGGAATCAGAGAGCATCCCGGTATGTTACATGTACAACTGTAGTGTAGTTGAACATGACTCGACTAAATGTATTTGAATGTATAGAGTTGGGCGTTGGAATGGCAACAGAAGGGATTGATCTACGCAGTGTAGGAAACTCTCAGATGTTACACGAAACGTACCTGGTTGAAGTATTCAATCTAAAAGCTGCAATCGAGTACCATCTTAAAAACTGCAAGTAAAATTCAAAGTGTTTAATAGAATATCAAATGGGTTCAACAGCTTACCATTGATGTTTTGATTTCAAATAGATGAAGGTGCACGGGAGGCATTGACAGATATGCCACCACGACAAGAACATGAACTGGATCATGTCACTCTACATAATCAAGCTTTGATGAATATGGACGAAAACCCAAGTATTGGATTTGAAAAACTTGGGTTTCTTCTTCAGCAAGTTCCGTGTCCGCCCGAAACATTTGGCAACCTTCTTTTACTTTATATCAAGTACGAGTACGTGGACTCTGCTGCAGATCTGTTGGCTGACAACTCACATTTGGCTGCATCTCATTTGAGTCCGGTAAGACATTTGAAATCAGACAAGATATCATGACAGTACATCTCACGACGTTTTGATATTTTTAAAATATAAAGTACCTTTACGATTTTCTCGAAGCAACACTACTCAAACATACGGCTCCTGAAGAGGCGTATAAAAAGTTTGATGATTTAGCCAATAAGCATATTGACGTGCTGCGTAAGCTTACCAAAAAAGTTCAAGAAGCTCGTCAAAACCACGACGATGAAGTAGTAAAACAAATTGTTACAGATTATGACGAGGCTGTTGATAGGTGACATTTATTTTACCAGTTGGATTGGTTTGAGATCATCGAGTTATACGATAGCTTATTTAATGCATGCTATGTGGTAGGTATATTCCGATTCTAATGGCACAGGCTAAAATTTACTGGGAAATGGATACATACAACATGGTTGAAAAGATTTTCCGTAAAAGTGTTGAATTTTGCAACGAACACGATGTCTGGAAGCTAAATGTCGCTCATGTGCTTTTCATGCAAGAGAGTAAATACAAAGAAGCCATTTCGTTTTACGAGCCCATTGTTAAAAAAAACTATGACAATGTAATTGTTATTTTAACCTGTTTGTCATTTTACTCGCTGCAATGTCCGATTGAGACTAACCATGGCACTGAATGTGATAGATTCTGGATGTTACAGCAATTGTGCTTGCAAATCTATGTGTGAGTTATATTATGACGTCGCAAAACGAAGAAGCAGAGGATCTTATGCGCCGGATTGAAAAGGAAGAGGAAAGGGTTGCATACGAAGATCCCAACAAACGCACGTATCATTTGTGTATTGTCAACCTGGTGATTGGTACGCTGTATTGCGCCAAAGGAAACTACGAATTTGGAATTAGCAGAATTATGAAGAGTTTGGAGCCATTTAACAAAAAGGTAAATAAGATGTGTTTGATCAATGGATAAAATCATGTGTCTAATTTGGCTGAATGAATTTGAATTACAAGTTGGGAACAGACACCTGGTTCTATGCAAAAAGATGTTTTGTATCTCTGTTTGAAACACTTGCCAAACACATGATTATTCTACGAGATACTGTGTTTCAAGAAATACTCGAGTTTTTTGATACGTGCGAAACACATGGTCGCTATATCCCTGTTGTGATTGACCCACTTTCACCAGATGCAAACCAGAGTCCAACTGGGCACCGAATTCTCGACGAGGACATGCCACCATTTGATAGTACACACAATACTGTGAGTTCTGAAGCACGTCTGCTCAAGAGTCTTTTTTTAAGACTGTATGATTAAACAAAACAGTAGAATCTCGGACAAATAAACGTTTACAAGAATCAAGGCAATACATTATTTCCTTGGCATCAATAAACTCGTTTCATATTTATATATTCATGTGTATTTAAAAAAAAGAATACTAACTCAACGCGTACAGCAATAGCACACACATGCCAACACCAAGGACTACTCCCATGATCCAGGTATCACGAAATTTGCGACTATTAATACGACTAAGAGTATTATTCAGTTGAGGAAACCGATTCAGAATGCCGGCAATACGTCCATGTGATCCAAAAAGTGAAGATCTCTGACGACCCAAATCATCATGTGCATCCATTGCATTTCTTCAATAAACACACACGGTTAGCATTGAGTTTAGACTTATTTCAGCATGAAGTTTCAAATATCACTGCTACATACTGGAAAATATCATCAGCCATGGTATTTGTTTGTTCCAGTCGTTCTCGTTCAGATAAATAGTAATCCCTGGAGTTTCCAGATCTATGCGGATTGATATCGTTGTGAATGGAGCTTAGCAATTCGGCATGTTCTTTTTTGGCGAGAATATTTGTTCTGGTTTTTCGAAACTCTTTAGAGTATTCGAATTGATTGGATCTGTGACGATGAAGAAGATGCGTCATGGATGCTCTAGAGGGATGAGTTGATCCAGGACCCTCAAGGTATGCAGACATGGAGTTGATTGTAGTTGTAAGCTGTAAATCCAAGTAATAGATGATGAAATAGAATTGTATGATTCAGGTTAGTCGACATTTTAAATCAACATGGGTTTAGATTGGAAGATCTTACACCTGATTCAACAAATTGTCCAAGTCTTGCTCAATGCTTTGAGAAGCAGAAAAAGAACTGGAGAATGGCTGAGTAGATGTACTTCCATGTGTAGAATCATTCAAAGAACTGTGAGTTCCCATCACAGTGCTGTTTGTAGGGTTGGATGCAACTTTTGAGAAACTGACGAGTCCAGAATCAATTTCATATTCCAGTTGACGAGCATGCTTGCGAAGCGAGTCCCAGGTGAATTCTGGAGTGGAGATGATTGAGCCAGAACGACTGTATATTCCAGGAAGCACTGTATTGGCAGAAACCTTTCCTGTTGTTGCAATGTTGGATTTTGTTGTCATTGATTTATTGTTGGATTCACGTAAAGTGTAACTTGTACAAATTTTACATTTCTTGCAAGAAACTTTATTATAAACTGTTGTTTCACTTGAATCGATTCAAATTATAAACTTGTGTCTTATATCAACACACTTGTAAATCCATCAGTTGCTTAATGCCAAGACTTTTGTCTTATTTCACGTGACACTCACGTGAGTTATAGTCACCTTTAATCGTTTGCATTCAATTTTTGCTCAACTCAACCTTCAGTCATGTTGCAACCCGCTGCTCGTATTTCCATCGCTTCTGGTGCGCTGCGTCACTTTGCTCTTCGAACTCGCTCGTTGTTTCCTTTGCATTCTTCGTTTCGTTCCTATGCAACTGACAATCAACCTCACCAGGTATTCCTCATACTTGCTGTTCATCCCTTGCAAGAAAATTTAGATCTTTCCAATTAAATTATCCTTTTTGACTGTTTATGTTGATGCTGTCATGTCTTGATGTGTTGATCCATTTTTGGCTGTACTCATCTTTTCTAGATGACCGTCCGTGATGCTCTCAATCAAGCCATGGAAGAGGAAATGCGTGCAGATGAAAAGGTCTTTATCTTGGGTGAGGAAGTGGGCCGTTATAATGGTGCATACAAGGTAAGCCAATATCTTGTAGTGTGTTGTGATGAGTTGTTAAACTTGTTGATTATCATGCAGGTCACCAAAGGTTTATTAGAAAAGTTTGGTGAAAAGCGAGTGATCGACACTCCTATTACTGAGATGGGATTTGCTGGTATTGCGGTCGGTGCTGCTCTCGCTGGTTTAAAACCCATTTGCGAATTCATGACTTTTAACTTTTCCCTTCAGGTACAATCTTGAATTAGTTTATACTTTTCTGTTTAAACTGTCTTGTCACATTTAACCCATTCTGTTTCTATGGGTTTAGGCTATTGATCATATCGTCAATTCAGCTGGTAAAACAAAATACATGTCTGGTGGTCAAATTGATGTTCCAATTGTATTCCGTGGTCCAAACGGTGCTGCTGCTGGTGTTGGTGCTCAGCATTCTCAATGCTTTGCTGCTTGGTACGGTTCTGTTCCAGGTAATCTGACCTGCCATGAATTCGTGTTTGATCTTTATTATCCCAATACTGATCTTTACATTGGCTAGGCATCAAGGTTGTCAGTCCATGGAGTGCAGAGGACGCAAAAGGACTTCTCAAAGCAGCCATTCGTGATCCTAACCCCGTCGTTTTTCTCGAAAACGAATTATTGTATGGCGTTTCATTCCCAGTCTCGGACGCCGTACTCAAAAACGACTTTGTTTTACCTATTGGAAAAGCCAAAATTGAACTGCAAGGTACTGCTTTTTAAATCACTCGATCTGTATCTTGGCCATGTATTCATGTATTTTTATAGGTACGGATGTGACTATTGTTGCACATTCCAAGGCTGTTGGACAGTCGCTTGAAGCAGCTGCCGAATTGGCAAACAAGGGAATCAAGGCCGAGGTAAGAAACTTGTAAATCATGACTGTACATCATTGTCACTCATTCAACCAAATGACAATGGCAACTAGGTAATTAATCTTCGATCCATTCGTCCGTTGGATATGGACACGATTATCACAAGCGTAAGCAAGACCAACCATATTCTTACCGTAGAGGGCGGATGGCCCATGTTTGGTGTTGGATCAGAAATTGCAGCACAAATCATGGAAAGTGAGGCATTTGACTATCTCGATGCACCTCTTGTACGAGTGACTGGAGCAGATATTCCTATGCCGTATGCAGCCAATTTGGAATCAGCCAGTTTACCCCAGGTGGACACGATTGTTGGAGCAGTGATGAAGATGATGGCTCGAAAGTAAACTCGTTAGTAAAATTGTATGGAATAAAATCCGACTGGACTAGTGAACTGTTGAACAGGATAAATTGAATGCACTAAAATGCACTAAAATGCTCAACGCTAGTCAGTGTTTATTTGTAACCAACATGAGTTGTCATGTTGACCGAATTGATATCACCAAAGGTTGAATCAACAATCCAGCCATTGTAAGCCTGGCGTGTTTGAATGGCTCAACTTGAAACACTGACCAAAGATACCATTTCAAGCACCACGAAAAGGTTTCACCGAATTCAAGCCTGCGAGTCACAAAGCTGTTGTTTTTACACTCAATTCAAGCCTGCATTTTACACATTTTTGTATCTGTGTATCGAAGCAATAGTTGGTCACAATACGGCAACTTTCGCGCCATTTAACCAACATTAAAAACGTATAAATACTGACTGAATTTCCAGCCTTATCAATATCAATCTACTCGATCTTTATACAATAGAATCAACCACATCAACAACATGAACAAGATTGCTTGGGTTTATAGCGTGCTGGCGTTTGCTGGATTAGTGTCTTCGTTGGCAATTTCAATTCCAAATGATAACCATTTGGAAGCTCGTTCTATAGAATCAAGTGCTTTACAAGAAGGTAGTGCTGGCAGTCATGATACGACTCTTGAACGTCGATCACCCAAAAATAGTAACCCAGTTCAAGTTGTTAAAGTTCAATCACCTGGCCTTATGAGTTTGGTTAAAGGCGCCGTGGTTAATTCTGTAGTAAATCGATTAGTTGGTACTCGTATAGTGCACTAAGCGTCATCACAACTGCATATGCAAAGCCCAAACTCATACGCATCAAACTCGGTAATCTCAATCGCAAATTTCGACTTGAGCATCAACTTGATAATCTCTTGCATAACTTTAATTTAAGCACTCGAATAAACCTTATTTTATCATGAAATTTGGGATAAATTGTTTTGGGACAATGCTTAAATATTCGTTTGAATTTATTTAATATCATGATGGTGGGAATCTTGCATGGATATTAGCATTCAAGATCCATGTGGTTTAGATTATGCATCCATTTCAATTTCGTCTGATAGCTCCTCGAGTGTTTTTCCCTTGGTTTCTGGGATCAGATATGTGGCAGCACAGCCTGTTGCCATGACAACTGCAAACGTATACAAGACTGCTCGTGCATTTTCAGTAAAGTAGGGTCCGACTGCTTGGACTCCAATGATTGCACCGAGCTTGCCGGCAGCAGCAGATAATCCGTGACCAGTTGATCTCCAGCGAGTGGGGAACACTTCACCTGGAACAACAAATGTAGTGGTGTTGGGTCCGAAATTGAAAAAGAATTGAGAAATGGTATACACGACAATGAAATACGTGGTATGGCTCAACATAAAATCCCAGAATATTGCTAGAATAAGTAGACACACTGTGATGACTGCGAATCCCATATACTGAATGGGTTTACGTCCGAGTTTTTCAATGGTAGCAACAGTGACCCAGTAGCCTGGAACAGTTCCCATAAGATTAATAATGACTGCACCAACTGCTTTTTGGAAAAACTGTTCGTATGGAGATTTGGCATTAGCACCATTGAAGTTGATGGCCGTGAGGATAGTAGCTTGGTTGAGCGATAGACCGTACCAGGCAATATCAAGTGCAAACCATGTGTATGCAGTTCCAATCAAGACACGTGCGTTTTTCCATTGTCCAAAATGTGCCATGAAACTACTAGCATCGCTTTGTTTGACAGTATTAGTCTTGACGGGATCAATGTCTTTTGAATCAGGTTTCTCAGGCTCGACCCAAGTGGATGAAAGGTCTAGGGTTTTGTTCATTTCCAAGACTCGAGCTACATCGCGTACGGCCTTGTCCTCATCGCCAACAACATCCACAGTGAATCTAGGTGTTTCGGGAATTGTCAACCGGAAGTAAATGGCAAAAATGGCAGGTACAACACCGAATCCAAGCATAAACCGCCAGACATAATCCAACATGAGAATGTCATTACGAATGTGCGACTCGAATGCAGCAAGGAATACAATGGTCATGATACCACCCACAAGAATTCCAACACCCTGCATGGCAAACACAGCTGCCATCAGCATACCACGATGTTTAACATTGGCAAATTCGGATGTGATAATGGCAGACATGGGATAATCTCCACCAATACCAATACCAAGAAAGAATCGCCAAATTGCAAGCATGGTAAGAACATCCATACCACGTAGAGTCGAAGCAGAAAGCGCAGATCCAACAGTGCATACAATCATAATGATGAGCTCAACACCGTACATTTGTTTACGACCAAGCTTGTCACCGAGGTATCCAAATGCAATTTGGCCAATAAAGTTTCCCCAGTTGGTTGATGCTTTTACGAGTGCGTCAAGATGAGGATGAGTCTTGACAAAATCAACATCTGGATACCACACTCTATAAATCATGGGCATAGCAAGCGAAATAACAAAAATATCATACTAAAGGGATGGCAGGATGTTAGACATGATTCGTATTTATCCAAATCATTATAAGCATGCCAAACTCACAGCATCGGTAAAAAAGCCAACACCGGCAACGAGAGTAGCACGGAGATGGAACCAACCGAGTTTGGCATCGTCAAGATGAGCAAATGCCTGTGCACGTTTTTGAGTAGTAGACAAGACAGCAGACTCGCCGACTGGTTTAACTTCGGCCAATACAATAGTGGTCGAATCAGACATGATTAAAAAATACTAGACTCGATACAGCGTGACCCGTCCTAATAAGCTGAATTTCAGAAACAAAAAGCTCCCCAAAGTCTCGAATAATTAAAACAGCAGATAAATGCTCGATATAAATAGTCGTTGATGAAAAGAACGCTTTGTGAATTTTTTATGAATTTTCAAGCAATTTTTATTTTGAACAGCAGCCAAACTTTGTCTGCACTGCCAATTACGGTTGCCAGTCAGCTATCAACGTGGAGAGTAAATCGATTTGATTGGCTGAAGCTTGAGTGTTGATTACAGGGTTGCTGCGCGGTAAGCCGTTGAAAGAGGCTTTTTATTTGCAGACTTTTGTGGGCATAGCCACTGCTCCACTTGCCAACTAGAAATAAATTGTCCGTCTGTGAAAAATATAGACCATTGAGCAGTGCATAGTGTTGCCGTTGCATTAGGCTTGGATGTTGAAATCTATTAATCTCCATACCTCAATGCAATGGTCTCAACATATCCATTATTGATCAAGCAATACAGAAAAATATTGCTCAACTGGTCACGACTGCATTGCTCAATTTTTACACCTGGTGACGAAATGCATGAAAACGAAGAAAAAAATTTGATTGTCATATGTTTGGATTTGAGGGTTGATCCATTCTCTATATAATGTCCCGCTTTTGCATAAAATGATCCGACAGTTGCCCAGCAGTCAATCATGGATGGTCTGAAATTCTCAGTTTGGATAGCCTATCTTGCATTGACTTCCTCTGCACTGGAATAAATAATGGTCGAATATCTGTCGTATTCTGCTATGGGAGATGGACTGCCTCAATAGGCACTATCGACTCTTTAAAAGTTTGGGTATGTCCTAGTTCCAAAAAAACGGCGATCAACATGGAGACAGCTGCTGCATTTCTGATTTGTGCAATCACCAGAAAAAATATTGAGCTTTGTTAGGGAGTTTAGTCGGCACAATATTCAGCAAATTCAGCGATACCCATCATGTCATGAAACGGGCTATTACTGACACTGTGTTTCATTTTACGTGAACACAGCGGCCAATACAACTCGAATGAGATGGAACAAATGACTAATTCAAATGTCATTTGAAACATTACAATCTCTCAAGTTATTATGCATATACTACAGTCGTATTCACAACATGAAATACTAAATAAGGGTTCTCAAATACATGTTTAGTTTCATGCTGGGTTGGTGCCAGTTCCCATCAAATGTGCTGGATAGAATTATAACCTTTGAATTTGTTAAAGTTGACTGGTTTGTTTCTGCTCATTCTTGTAAGAATACATGGCACATGTTCACATCCATGGCATTGTTTCAATCTCCAGCTTTTCTATAGACCAAACACTGGGCGATTGGTATGGAAACAGCAGCTGCATTACTGAAATGCCTGGACTAGAGCACAAACGTATCTGATGAGAACAACATAATTTTGATGGCAGCAACCAATTGGTAGAAAAATAATATTTAATCATTGTTTATTTCAAAGCAAAATAGAGAAAGTCTGCAAGATAAATACAGAAGTGTTTCATTTTACGTGAACAGGCTGTAATAAAACACGCTAATTCCAAGTCTATATTTTCCATGTACTAGGATAACTATAGAATCATTTACCCTTTACCCATAACAGAAGTATAGGCTGTTACCATCATACGGAAATACATGTGTTTAGGGTTACTAGTACTGCCAATATTCCAGCAGTCAGGATGCCACATGGCACGGGGACGGGATCCAGTCTGAACATCGAGCTTAGGTACAATAGAACTCCAATAATAATCAGTATCGAAGCAGGCCTCTGAAGTTCGAGCAAACATTCTTCCTTCGAAAAAGTACGGATCAGCCTGCCATCCTTCTGAAGGAGTAACATCTGTCATACGGAACTGATTGGTCGCAGTTCCAGTACTGGAAATTTCACGACCATCCAAATATACTGTAGCAAAAAATCCAGCAATTGAACCTATGTCTTGACCATCGACAGCAATAATCCAAGGACCATCACCAGTGACTTGTTTAGTATAAGTACGTATTTGTGACCAAGAAGGAATGTTATCATTGCGTTGTGGTCCATCAAACCGCTGTCCTGCAATCCAGATATCAAAGTAGTCATCAACAAGCACAATAATCTTGATCTGATGGATTGCTGGAGCGCGATTAATCGGTACAACAGGTCCACCAATTGGATAGGGTTGGTTACTGTCAAAGTTGGTGTTGTGAGTGCCGGAATAGCCAATGACCATGTTGGAATTGGGCATAGGTTTAACGTATCCGCCACTAGCTACAACAGAACGGTACTGAGTGACAGGTCCAGGAGGCCCAGGAGGCCCAACAGGTCTAGGAAATCCAGAAGGTTTAGGAAATCCAGAAGGTCCAGGAGGCCCAGGATACACGGGAGGCCCAGAAGGTCCAGGAGGTCCAGGATACACGGGAGGTCCAATGGGTCCAGGAGGTGCGGGAGCAGCGTACATGTCGACAGTACCAAGACCTCGCTTAAACTTGCCCTGTAGAGTGCCCGTATTAGGAGGATATACAACAATTCGAAACCACAAAGGAACAGGAGTTTGAGCAGTAGCTCGAGGATCTACATCACAGTTGGGAAACCATACGGGGCGAGCAATTTGACCAGCAGTAGCACCGTCAATTATATTATAGAATCCGTGCCATTCGTTAGCGTGATTGGCGCAGACATCGGTAGTCTGGATCATCCATTGACTATCCGGGTAATTGACTTGCGTGTCCCATCCATCGCCAGGCATAACAGGAGCCATACGAAATTTGTTACTAGGAGTACCCGTAGCGGAATAAGGCATATCGTCAACCGAAACGGAAGCAACAAGACCTCCAAGACCACCAAGATTAAACGCTTGAAAAGCAATCAGCCATGGACCATTTCCAACGACAGTCTTGGAAAACGTTCTGACCTGTCTAAAACCGTAGATTCCGTTGTCGGTAAGTGGGCCCTTGTAGTAATCGCCCAAAAATTTAATATGGTAGTAGTCATCAACAGCTATGGCCATGGTAATTGTATGAGTATCTGACACGACAGCTCGAATGAACATGAGAAAAAGGCACACCACATGCCAAATAGTATATCGCATAATTGATCCAAATAATAAAAGTTAAAAATGCAAACGCAGTATTGCAAAAAATGTATGAAGTCACAGACAAGTATGTTCTAGTTTTCTATATCAAAGCAAATAAGTTAGTCGTTGAAAGAGTAATAACAAGTCTAATTTTATATCAATCCATCATGGGTGGCCAAGATAAACAATATTTTATTCATATCAGGCGGCGTTGTGCCTTTCTGTGAAGATGTAGCCATATTAAGCTGATTTGCAGTTTGATTATTTTTCCGTGCCACTATGATGGGCTTAGTTTCATCAATTTCTTGAAATGATGAAAACTTGAATAATTGTAAATACTGCAGCCAGCCGAGTGTGGCAAATTATTGGCTTGAAATTTCTATTCAAAGCCACCCAAGCTAAATGGCCAATCCTTTCTATCTTTCATACCAACTTGAAAGCCAATATTTCAAGCCACCTGTATAATACTTGCAATCTTGTGTTCTTTCTTTTGATCGGACGGGCAAGCAGCCAGAAACATTTGAGCGTGGCTTAGGATTATAGCCGTGAGCGATTACTGCCCTATTGATGTGAAATAAACCACTCGGATTGGCTGTATTTTGTTTAGAAAAATAAGAGTTGAATAGTCGTTGTTTCTCACTGCAAATTAGCTGCTTCAATTAAATCTCAATCCAAAAATATACTATTCATCATATGATACACACATCAAATTATCCATTTCTCTACTTGACATGGCCATACACGGTACAGTCACCAAGTTTAAACCCAGATTATCCATTTCAATCAGACTTGTTGATTTGAATAAAATACATTGTTTGGCATTTGCTTCAACTTCCCACAACCTACTAAAGGTGCAATAAATGTTTAAAATTCAAGCTATGCATTTTTATTGTATGGCTTCAAGAGTTTGTAGGTAAAATGCTAGTTAGAATTTGCTTGTAAAGATTGAATTAAAACAAGACGGTTGTTTATCTGCCAGTAGACCATCTTGTGGGATGCATTTGAAGTCCATCAACATCCTTGGAATACTTGATGGGATTGCGCGCACGCTGAATGAGAATACGAACAACAGCATAAAAGACTAAAAAGATACCAAATGCCATGGGTATCAACCACAAGATGGGGTGGAGTCTCCAGTTGGTGCCAAAAGCAACATTGAAAGGTGGAATATAGACCATTGCCATGGTAAAGGCAGCACCGCCAATGAGACCAGTAAAATTGTATATATTGCTGAACATGAACCAACCAAACGGAATACCAAAGCGAGCCTTGCAAATAAACATGTTGAAACTTTGCTGAATCATAATGGCAAGATAGTAGCCTGATTGTGCATAGTAGAGCGTATCCAATTGAGCATTATTATCCAAGACTAAGCCACTCGATAGTGTAATAGGACCGGTATTTGTTCCCCAAACGCTGCCAAAGTTGACTGCATCGATCGGCAAAATACGACGATAGTAGTAAAAAGCAACAAAGTACGAAACAAAGCAACCGATCGACATAATAGTGCCAGCCTCAAGGTATGACCATAAAAGCAAGTTAGAATCAACAAGAGTTTCTTCATCACGCTTTTCCATAAGATCATGCCAAAACACGGCTGTAAATGGAGTAGAAATCGTCTTGGTAAATTTGGCAACAAATCCTTGTGCTTCAGCAGATCCTTCAGGTTGACGAGCAGCAATACGCTTGGTACGAGCAATGGACTCGGGAGTAACAGGTTTACGGGGTCGCAGTTTCATCAAACCAGTCTTTGATTCAGGCAGATCCCAGGCATAGGAAAGAGCAAGGAACAGTTCAAATCCAAGATCAACAATAATAATCTGAATAGCAGTCAATGGCAGCGGCAATGGAACAACGATATAGAGCAAGTTGGCCCACACTTCAGGCATAGTGTGTGTAACAGTATACTGAATCGATTTTTTCAAGTTTTGGAAAATCAATCGACCCTCTTCAATACCATTGACAGTGGATGCGAAATTGTCGTCAATCAGAATCATGGCTGCAGCTTCTTTGGACACATCAGATCCAGACACGTTCATGGCAATACCCAAATCAGCCTTTTTCAAGGCAGGAGAATCATTGACACCATCACCTGTAACACCAACAATGTGTCCGAGAGCTTGGGCATGCTTGACAATCTGCAACTTGTGTTTGGGAGATGTACGAGCAAAGATAATTTCTTCTTTGGAAAAGATATTGTCCCAATCAGCTTCAGTCAGACCATCAATCTTTTCACCATGAATAACAATAGCATTCACATCGCTTTCCGGAATTTGTGATATGGGTACGTTGCGCTTCTTGGCAAGGGTTTCCTTGGTGTCTTGCAACATGAGATTGATTTTGCGACCAATGGCCTCGGCAGTGAGAGGGTGATCACCGGTAACCATCATGACACGAATGCCAGCTTCACGGCAGTGACCAACAGCCTCACGTACACCATGCTTGGGAGGATCTTCAAGGGAAACAAGTCCATAAAAGGTAAGATTGTTTTTGGGATAGTTGACAGGGTCTTTGGTAAACACGAAATTGGCGGGATACTGATCACCGGGAAGAGCCAGAGCAGCAAAAGCAAGCACACGATGTCCTTTGGAAGCCATAAACTGATACATGTCTTCAAACGAAGCCTTGTGTTGTTCTGTCAGAGGAACGACATTGGTACCATCAAAAAAGGTAGTGCAAAGACGAAGAACACGTTCTGGTGCACCTTTGAGGTAAGCCATCATTTCGCCATTGGCATGTTTTTTCTGATGAATCGTCATGGCCCATTTGTTTTCCGAGTTGAAGGGAATTTCGAATATCTTGGGGAATCGGTCTTCGACAGACTCGAAATCAACAAGTTTTGCAGCACCGTTGCGCAAAAGACCAGCTTCAGTAGCATCACCAAGAATAGGACGAGTAGCAATTGGACCATCGTTGGACTCAAAACGAGCACGAGAGCACAAAAGTGACATATGAATCAGCTCATTGACACCAGCATGGTCCATGTCCAAGGGAACAGCGTGCTGCGCCTCGGTAGACGATTGACTCTGTGCATAAAACAGACGAGATCCAGTCCAAACATAAGTCACGGTCATTTGGTTACGAGTCAGAGTGCCAGTTTTGTCAGTAGCAAGAAGGGTAATGGCACCAAGGGTTTCAACACCCTGCAGATCCTTGACGAGCACATTACGACCAGCCATACGCTTTGCTGCAATAGTGAGCAACATGGTGACAGTGGCCGGAAGACCTTCGGGTACAAACGAAACAAACGTACCAATGGCGAAATTGAGGGCTTGGGAAGCATTTTGACCCTTGGCAACAATACCGATAATCAAGAAGATGATGGCAACAATTCCTGCAACTAGAGTAATGAGCTTGACAAACGTGTCAATCTCATCCGAAAGCGGAGAACTACGACGCTGCTCGTTGGCCGTGAGGGACGCAATCTGACCAATCACAGTGTTATCACCAGTTCGAATCACGACACCATAAGCATCGCCATTGACAACGAGCGTGCCGTTGAATACCAAATTAGTTGCTTCCAGTGGACTTGTCATGACATTGTTGGCGTTACGTTCTTGAGGCTCAGCTTCACCAGTTAGAGACGAATTGTCTACTTTGAGTTCATTGGACCAGAAAATACGCAAGTCAGAAGGAATCTTGTCGCCAGATTTGATAAACACAACGTCGCCCAATACTAGTTCTAGAGCAGAGATTTGTGCGAGTTTTGCCTCGCGGATAGCATAACATTTAGAAGGAATGAGATTTAAAAAGGATTCAAGAATGGATTGAGATTTTTGAACCTGATAGAATTCAATGCTTGCATTCATGAATGCAACAATAATCAAAATAGCACCGACATAGACATTTTGTGCATTAGCAATGGGGTCGATGGCAAGCAGAATATAGGCAGCAATGCCCGATACGAGAAGCATGAGATTGAATAAACCGAGAAGATGATCCATGAAACGCAGAAAAGGGTGTCGTTTTTTTGGCGGTGATAGCTGATTGGGACCATATTGCTCCAGACGCTTGATAGCCTCTGCTGGGGAAAGACCTTTAGACAATGTGGGTTTCACTGCATCGACCGACACAGAGTATTTTTTTTCGACTTCCTCGAGCGAGAGTAGATGCTCATTCTGAATGTATTGTATGGGAACATGGTTTAATAGAAAATATAATTAATGGATATTCGGTTGTTGGCGTTACATCCATCTCGATGGTTGATTCACACCAGATATCTCCACTCCACTAATTCAAACTTGATTCCCACCCTATTTTCACACCCATTCACAACAGTCTCGACATTAATATAATTTACTTACCACATCAACCTGCTGAGATTTTTCACCAGAAGGGGCGGGTACAACGACTGCAATTGTCCCAGATGTGGGGTTAGCAGTAGTAGGTTCGGTCATTCAAGCGAGTATATCAAGATGAATTTGAACAGTCAAGGTGCTCGATAGAATTCAGACGCTAGGTGAGATTTACTTGGTTGAATGAATAGTTATGTGTTTGTAAGAGCCGAATAGTTGAAAGTATTTTTAAAAAACGGCGATTCTTAATCCTTTTGTGGGCGGAAACTGCCTTGGCGCAACAAATTTGTCGTGGAGAATCAAGTTTTGTGAACTTGTCGAGTGTGGATTCACTGCATGAGAATTACTCTGATTTTCTAACAAAAAAACAGTCATTTGGTTGACTGTTTTGACTAACATGGATTATCAACTTATTTTTACGTATATTCATGGACACTATCATCCTTGTACTTGACTATAGCTCAAGTCTCACTGTTTCTTCAAGTATCAGACTGTCACCTTGGCAAACATACCCTCTTGCATCATTCATTTATGCAGCTCCACTGAGTTTTAAAAATCAAAGCAACTTGTATTTTATGCGGGTTCAAAAGCATTACCACATTGACAATCTGATTGGTTTCAACTAAGATTCGGGCACTTGGAATGTGCTAATACTCCAAAATATGAATGACGGTTGGTTCATTGGGAAAACTCTTACAAAGTAGATGAATTGTGGGGTACTACCCTAAAATAAGTTGGATAGTCGATAAATCAGTATTCAATGGGTGTGTCAATGGCAAAAATGTTGATGTATTGGTATAGAATCAATAGAGTATGAGTTGGACCATCAATAACCATGTTGGATACTAGACTTGATTATAATCAGTTCATTGCAGATATTGGTTGTTGCTTATTTTCATACGAGGTTTTCAGTCCAACATTCAATGGCGTCTACTAATCGGTTGATCAACTACAAACTATTATTGATCTACCGGAATGGTAGTTTGACTACTTGACACAATCATTAATTCATACACTTGCTCAAACTGAACCAGATCTTTCCAACACTAGCCATCTGTATGAATGTTGATATAATTCATTCTATACAGTCTATACATGATCAATGATTGCAGATTATACAATGTATATCAATTGTTGACTCGGATACACTTTAACATCCACGTTTGAATCAAAATCCACCTTGGCAAATATATATTGTCAGATACATGCAATTTACAATCCAGGTTGACCAACAACCATATCATTAAATGGATGGATATTCGAGATACAATAAAATATAAAGTGAATAGCTTGGTGGACTGATCAAGCAGATGTTTTGGGAATGTGATCTGAACAACAAAATGGCAGTATTGGTTCAAACAGAACACTCGAGAGTATCATCACATGTGCTTTTAGTTGGAATCATGTACAAGGTCATTGATGTTACAAGTCAGGGTAATGAACAGATGATCTGTCATGTAATCTGTCATGCTTTGATGATCCAGATTTGGATGATTTGGAACAAGCCATTACACGAATCAATACATACAAAACTGGAATACACCAAGATGATCATTTACAATCAAAAACAGTGACAACCAACATCAACTCAAGCAATAGACAAGTGATGGAGTATGAATGCAAAAGTATAAAATATGAAAAGTAAAAATGCCTTCACCGCGGATTGAACGCGGGACATTTAGATCTTCAGTCTAACGCTCTCCCAGCTGAGCTATAAAGGCACATTTATTGAATTGAGCAATGCATATACAATCTCACAATATCATGTTGAACATTGTATTACTTGATTTGATACATCAGCACTTGTCATCCAATACTGCATACCAGACTTGATCCATACCAATCGTGTTCAATCCTTCAATCATGTTGATAATCATTGAACAAAAGTAATAGTCATTCAAATTAGTTTAAAATGCGACTTTATTCACGACCATGGATACGCACGCGATAAATACATGTCCATTTGGGATTTCCCCAGTTATTTTTAATGCGCACAACAACCATATTGACTTTGATGTTTAAAATCCGATGTAAAGGATAAGTTTTCAATGCAGCCGTCATTGGATTGAATTCAAAGTCTCCTAGGAGAATTCCAGCTGGTTGTGTTTTTTTGTTTGATGATGACAAAGTGCCGAGTGTTTGTAGTCTGACCTGATTGTTGTTTAGATCAAGTTTAGCAAATTCTACAGCATCAAAGACTGCCCAAAGTTCGATTTGGCGTGGAGCTGATGTGTGTCGGTCACTAATGGACGTTTGGATATGAGAATGCTCAATGGTCATATCAGTTGGTATGATGGGCTCGGCAAGGGATATCGCCAACGTGCCGCTCGAGTCTAATCATCATGTCACGGGTAGAACAAATTATCAAACATTGTTTATCCAAACATCAACACATTTTCACCACTTGAATTTAATTTTACCTGACATGGCCCAACAATTACCCGGAGAAATATCCTGGGTCAAAGCGGTTGACGGAGACCGTCCACTGGCTTTACGAATACCCATTACTCGTGCAAATAAACCCAGCACAGGTGGCTTGAAATGAGTAGTGAATGTTGAAGAGGTTAGATTATAAACTACGCGAGCGCCTGCACTTTCCAAAGCGTAGTCGGGTATAGCCAACACATCCGCTCGATATTCTTCCAAAGCAGAAGCTACAATGCGATGTATGAGAGACTCTGTGGCATCTCGCGAAAGTGGAGCATCTCCTTTTAGATGCGCATAGGACGACGATACAGAGTCCAGACTCTCCAAGCGATTCATAATGATCGCCATATCTTGGCTAGACTTTGATACGATGCTCTCAAGCTTGACCTCTATGGCTGAAAGTGTTTGCTCTTGTGTGAGAATGATGTGTGAGTTGGGATGAGTATCAACCTGCTCATGTATGATAGTTGAAAGGGCCTGTCGATTTTGCTCAAGAAAATTGTGCCAGTGGGTGGATGTATCAACAGTAGTCTTGATGAGCTCAAATTCACGCTTTTGATTATCGTAAAATACTCCAAGTCGATCTTGCTCACTCATGACTTCTTTCAGGGAAGTAGTGTGAGATGCAATTTGTTCGGTTAATGTTTTCAAATGCAGATCTAGCTGTGTGTACTCTTTTTTTGTACCACTAAAGGCACCTTGCAACTTTTCGCGAGTCTCTTGCTCCAGTTTGTTCAGTTCTTCAACCTTGGTCTGTAGTAATGCCTTGACCTCGTCCATTTTCAAATCTACACGAGCAGCTAGCGATGCATCGTTTTGTCCACTTTGAGTATAATCCTTAATGGCATCCTTCAAAGCCATACGTATGCGTACATCAACATCTGCATTAGTGGCATACGTGACACGAATGTCATCAATTTGAGCCAAGATGAACGTTTTTAATCGTGCTTCGGCAGTGTTGGAAACATCAATCGTTTGGTCTTTATCACCAAACATATTCAGTTTTGACTCGATGGCTTTCCAAAGTTCTGGCGGTAGTTCAATCTCTGAGGTTTCAGAAGATTTAGTAGCAGCAATGAATCCAGGAAAGTCTGTACTGGTTCGAATAGTATCCATCACCCGTTTGACAACATCATCTACACTACCATAGGCTTCAAGCTGTTGACCGAGTCGTGTTACAGTTTCAGATAATGTGCTCAGCTTTTCAGCCAAACCTTTGGACACCTCGTTTGAAACACTCAAATTTTGCACATCTTCATGAATCTGCTTTTCCAGCTCAACAATACTTGATTTGTGTATTTCAAGCGAGTCATGCAAGTGTTTGATATATGCACTCTGTTCAATGGTTGTTTTTTCTGTGGCGTCATGCAAAGCATCCAATGTGTTGCGCAAATCAAATATTTGCTTCGTTACATCTGCAATCTGTGCAGAAAGCGTATCTTTCAATGAATCTTGTCCAGCAATGGTATGTTCAATTGATTTTTCTAATCGAGAATGCTGAGATTTCATATCGCCTGCCACCTCAACTAGACCTTGCGTTACTAAAAGTAGTTTCTTTTCGACAGTGGCAACACGCTTTTCAAGCATAACAAGCTGTTTTTGAGACTTCCAGTTGGATTCTGGGCGAGAATCTGTATTACTCTGGGTATCTTGTGAGTTGATTTCAATATGTTCAGTTTCAGTGGAAGCGAATGTTGACCGAAGATGCTCGAAAATCATGGATATATTTGGTGTAAACATGGACTGTAGCTGAGGTGATTGGTTTACTGGATCTAGCGAAGCAAGGAGATCAATGCTGTGGCCCGGTTTAGTAGTTAATAAATACACGCCAAGCCCACACAGTAATCCAGCAACACACATGTTGCGATGATAACCAAGGACTCGGAACGTGGTAAAAAAAATAAACCCAGCAACACGTAGAAATGTCCATCCAATAAAGCCAAGTGGTTTTCCACATAGATAATAGACAATGTTCCACATAAGCGTGCATACACCCCATATCAGTAGTGCAATGATGGAGGCGATCCATGAAAAAATAGGAATAACAAGTTGAACAATGTAGAAATCGCTCAACCAATCGATGAACCTCAATAGCGGTCCAGGCTCTAAATTCAAGTTGTTCATTTAACATGAATTAGATCCAAATCACACAAATATTTAATACCACATCATTTTCCAGTATCTGGTTATAAAAACGGTATTACCTTCAATCACAGCCTCTTCTGCAAATATATCGGGGAATAAAATGCGATTTTCACCCAACTCATCATCCGACTTGTCACAAAGATCTGATTCATACTCGACTTCTATTTGATCAGAAGACGTTGCCATACGGCCCAGCCACGACTTTGCAACTTTACGTTTATGGGTTCTAGGTGTCATACCAACATTCTCCAAGATATGCTTTAGATTCATAGGAGATCTGAATGGAGAAAAAAAAGAAGTCAATGAAAATTTAGAAGGAGTGATTTCAACAAACGATTCGGGAGTCTTGGATGGATTGAGTTGTGAGCTGTTTGGTGTTTTTGGAATGAGGTCATTATCGAGCTCAGAATCCGACGCCGCAGGATTTGACTTTGCCATTTTGTGTCGAGCAACTAACAATCAAAGCACAGGTAAACATACAAGCAGAGCAACAAGTTTGAATTGAAACAATTTGTATTGAATAAAAATCAAATTCATACTTTTAGGTTTAGTTGGAGTGCGTTTAGTAGATTCAGTAGACGAGAAACTCTTGGTTGAGTTGATTTCATGTCCAGAGTCAATACCATTGTTGGTGGAGCGAAAAGGATGATTCCATGCAGATGTAGGCTGTTCAGTGGTGTCGGGTTTAATCAGGACGGAATCTGATGGTGACAAGATTGGATCCTGTGGAGTAGAAAAGAGCACGTTGCGATGAGAGTAGGAGCGAGCTGTAGGAGTGGTAATGGGACTGAGCGTATTATTTGAACTAATTGATGTGACATGAGTCGCTCTGCTCGTTCTACTTGACCTGCTACAGTCACTGGCCGTGCTGGAAATACTCGTTCTGCGAATAGTATTTACGGAAATTGACGATTCATGATTGGCAGCGGGATGACCGATGCGTTTACTTGGTGATGCAGTTCTTATGGGCGAATAATTAATATTTCGATGGGCTCTTTTACTACGCCTGACACCGCTAGTTGAATCAAGAGTATCACTCAAGTCAGTACCAGATACTTCACCCGAATCTGCAGCTGGAGTGCCCATTTGCAACTCTTATTTTACGTGAAACCCTGCGTTTATCAACCCTCGAGTCACGTGGGGGTTACCCAAGACTCAAACATCAATTGAACAGTTGGATTCAAGGCATCAGTCGGTCTTGTGCTATTTTAAAGATGGAATATCTTATCAGTACTACACATGTGTTCAACTGAAATACTCAACACTCAATTCTGTCGTGGATAAGGCTTGATCATGCAGGGCTAACGCCAGAATTGAGCCCTTGCAGGGCTGTTGTTGATTTGCTTGACACGCTGTGAGGCCCGAAACTGCAACGCGCAGTTCTTATCAAACAAACCATTTATATAATCCAAGTTGGATTCTTTCTATGCTGCTGTATCTTGTGTTTTCTATCCATTTAAATCTCATCCATATTTAAAGATAAACTCATGGATCGTTACGTTTTACACTATCCAAAAAAGTCGCCGCATATACTGCCCATATTCCACTGCGCGCAGCCTCGCATCAATGCTTTAAAGCAACGGCGACTGCTATACCTTGCCTTGTTTTGCATGAGTGTTTTGTTATGGACTGCATTGGTTCATTCTAAACCAAGCTACACCATCAATTTAAAGTATCAAGAGTCTTCAGATACTCCTAGCCATGTCCTCAGTATAAAAGACCATTTCAAACCACTTTATAGTCGTCGCGAGCTACATAGAAAAGCCGAGCCCATCGTTTTAAAAAAATATGCATACAAGGCATTATCATGGTAGGATTCATTTCTAAATGTATCATGGCATTTCAAAGTGATCAAACGAATTCAAACCCACACAACTCATTCATGATATCATCAATCTGGTATTTAGGGAGAGAGACTTGGATATCACCAAAGCCTATGTAAAGCAATTTCGAGTTGGTGCTCCTAGAGGTAATGATACGACTGTAATTTTGTATTTTCAAAGCATTGGCAGATCAATGTGTTGACTTTACAGTGACTTGATGTAATTCTATCGAGTAAATAGGTAAACTGCATGACACTATCTACATACCTAAAGATCAAGCCAAGAGACGAACACAAGGCCAAGAAACAAAGTTTAGTCAGTCAGAATCTGGTAAGCTAATTTATCCAAAAATTAGATTTTATAAAAACTATCGAGTTGCTCACTCCATTACAATACCTTTTATAGATGCAGCACTACAAGTACTCTTGGAAACCCCATCACCTAAAGAACTTGATGATTCATAATAGTAACAGATACAAACACATACTACCCTGTGATGCAGACCATTTCCAACTAGAGCCGGGATAGTTGAATAAAACAACTATTTGAAAAGGGTTTCAATCCTTTCAACTAATTCATAGAAAATGGAAATGATAAAATAAAATATATTTTTTGGTTATATAAAGATTTGAATTTGGTTTGAAGCCATTGCGATAACGTCCAGTAAATTGCAGTATTTTGAAAGCAAAAGTTGAGTTTAAAACAAGCGTGCAGTTTACAGATTATATAGATGAAGCTTTCAAGATTGTGTCAGTTTTACAATTAAGAATCAACAAGTCGGATTGTCGTCGCGATATACAAATAATGAATGATTCTGTCATTCAAATAATGTTTGCAAAAGAATATCAAAAAACTGATTCGAGTAAAACGACAGTTGGCAGCAAATGCGTTTGATAAAAAGTGGTTGAAAATCATCACATTAGTGAATGTTTTCAAGTTCATTCTTGTCAACTGGATTAAAAATCATTAAATTTGACAGTTTTTAGTTTGCAAATTGGTCGAGTTTGAGTTGATTTAAAATTGCAAGATTGTCACTTGAAAACACTTGTTCTTGCTGGTGTACTTGTCAAGGCTGCTACAACTACTGGATTAGTCAATATAAAAATGTCTCATAAACCCAACAATCCCTTTATTGATGATGTGCCTGACTGGAGTGCTGACTTTTCCAACGACATACTAAATACTGGTAGCAGCAATATAGCCAATCCTGCCTCGAAGACAGTCGACTATGATTCTCATGCACAGTCATTATGGAAACAGGATTCATTAATAGACAGAACTGTGCTGCCTGCATCTTCTTCAAATGATATTCATATTTCAGCATCCAGAGCAATGGCAAGCAAATCAAAAGACTCGGCTTTGCTGGATTCTTCAATATCCTGGCATCGGCCTCTTGATTCACTTTATACCCATATTTCAGATAACCAAATCTCAGATGGTCTACCTGCTGCTTTTGCACAAACCTCTACTTACTCGGAGAAATCCCATTCAGACCCATTGCATCTTCAACTTGATCACAACAATCTGGTGGCTCAGCATCTGTCATCATCTAGAGTATCTTTCCAAGCTCATTCTGATGTCGATGATGGTCACAGCGATTCTGTGGAACTTTTGGATAAAAGATACAATCCAGATACGCTCTTGAATTCTATGGGATGTCATGCAACTGACATTCATTCTTCAAATCTGTCTTTGAATGGGTCTCCACTATCACCTTGCGATACTGGCCATTCTAGTACAAGTGAGACTCGGTCTAGGGCTTCTCGTCCTAGAAGAAAGCGAGAGGATGTGTTTAGGCTTCCTGAACAGGAGTTTTTGGATCTGGTTTTGCAAGAGGAAAATCCACTACTTATCCGTGAACTTCTCTCTCAGCGATTAACTTACCTGTCATCTAATAATTTTGCCGAGAAAATGGCAAAGTAAGACTTGACAAGTACAACTAGTTTATATCTTGTTACATTTGCTAACCGTTATTTCTTTCATGTATTGATTGGAACGTCAATGTACAGTATGCCTGCATGGATGGTTGCCGTGAGCAGATGTCCTGCTATTATTGCAACATTGTCACTTGAGCTGATTGTAGGTGCAGTCATTAGCTCACGCCATGAGCTCATACGATCTAATATGATGATTACTTCATTCCTTCCTGTTCTATCCTCCATTGCTGGTAAGTTTTCAAGCTTTTAATGCTTCAAGCCATTATTCGACTGACAATACATGTTGATTAGATTCTAACTAGGATGTTTTTTGATAAAGGCAATGTCGGACTCCAAGCATCAACTGCAACGTTGCGTGGGTTATCAACTGGCCATGCATCAGCATCCAGCATCTCAAGCGTGATTCGGATCTTGCTGAAAGAGTTTTACGCATCGTTGGTGGTTGCAAGCTTCGCTGGGATTTCTCTCATGATTATCTCGTCAAGCTGGGCTCATGCGATGAATTTCGGAATTGCGACGGGTCTATCGTAAGTCTTGAATACCATCACATACATGTCGTGAATAGTACATTTTACACTGATACTAATCCCAAAATATATCTTTACAAACACTAGTATATTTTTCAATAGTGCTATTTCTGGAATTATGGGTGCACTAGGTCCCCTCACGTTTCGTGCATTGAAAATAGATCCGGCACTTATGGCTGGACCTTTTGAAACAGCCATGCAGGATTTGATAGGTAGCTCAGTATACCTTGGTTTCTGTGCTGCAATTCTTGGATAGGCAAGACAATAAAAAATGATTTGTATTTTGAAACATTGATTTCCCTTTCTCTCCACTCTACTTGACATTGGATCACCTTTTCAAGTGTCATGACTATCCTGCTGTTTAATTCAAAGTTTGTAGAAAAACAATAAAGTATATTTTATTTTGCAACATCGAGTAATATTTAGTTTAACTCGATGAATCATACCGCAACACCAATACATCAAACAAGATCAAAGTTGAGTGATGGCAACGTCAAGGTGTTTTGACAGGAATAGCCAACCTGTTAATGGGTGGAAGCACAAGATGTCGATGTTTGTCGATTGTATCAGCATAACAAACCGATCGCATCAAATCGGGTTGATTCGTGTTGGTACGAAGAGATTGACTCATGACCATTACAGTTGGTTCTTGGAACACATAGCGGCGATGATTCGGGATGCTTTTTTTTTGGAGTTGGAGAGGTGATGAAGATGTATGGAGAATTGAATCCAAAGGTTTACAGGCAAACCGAGGTGGAGTTTGTTGTTGATAATGATGTTTTGATGATAATTCTAATGTAGCAAGTTGAGATATAGCACTGCAGACACCTTGGATTTGGTGAGGTAACTCCATCTGCTGTGGACAATGATCGCGAGGTGGTGTCATAGGACATGACACGGACGCAGACTGTGTCCATCGCGGTAACGGAACACATGACAGCGGATGCCAGCTGTCAATGGCAAAATCCGATCCTATTCAGAATATGGAATAAGTACAAGCTGTTATGTTGGTATAGTAGATACCATGCTTAATAGGACAAATGGGCAGTGCATTGAAAGACTTACTAAATGTTGATGCACCGCGAATGTCGAAAGAAAGAAGCGGATGAGGACCAAGCCGCTTGCACTCGAGCGACAAGACATTTGAACCGTCATTCTTTGTATCGAGTCTAGTAAGGCAGTATGCGTTGGCCATCATTTTGATGATGATTCAAAATATTCACAAAACAATATCAAATACCTGGAGTATAGCTCATTGGCAAGAAATGTAGCTTTGGGATCGCATGGTACTGTATCGTCCCATAAAGAATAGCCTTGATCGACACATTGAGCCTTGCAATGCCATAATTCCACAGATACTTTTGTAGTGTATCCTTCATCTTTCAAATCATTTTCACCACTAAATATTAGGGGAGAAACAACACCAAACTTGGTTCGACACCCAGTAATATCAAAGGATTCATGACGCGATCGGAGAGTATGAGCAAATACCAACCGGCCATTTACAATCACAACGACACATACCCGTAATACCGGTTGCCTATCGTGTTCCAACTGTAAACTACATTCTTTCTTGCTGCTTCTGTTTCCCTTTTTACACCCAAGCATAATTTCCGGGCCACGCTCAAACAATGATGGATCAATACCAGTATTGTCAATGCGAATCGAAAAACAATAGGGTAGCTGATTTTTTGACAAGGTAGATGATTGAACAATTGATTGGGATTTAACAGCACAGGGTGAAGTTGCTACTTCTGTTTGGATTCGCACGCCTAAGAATGTGTTGCTTGAATGAACAATGGTTTCTGGAATAGGCAATTGATTCGCATCAACCAGAATGACTGTGAATCCATTCATGGATGGCATTTTTAAAAGGTGACAGGAATGAAGTGGGAATAGTGCAGTTTAGCTGATGAATTAATTGAAGTCGTATACAGACGTAGTTCAAATACGTGTATATAAAAATTGGGGCTCAAGTTGAGGAGTTTGAATTCAATTTTACAATGAGATTTCTAGTGATACAAAAGGGAATATATTTTGGAAACAAAGGAATACTCTCAAGTATTTGTATTTTCAATACATACCTGTCAATTTCCAATTCATTTTTTAAATGATGGCTTCTCACGCTAGTTTTTAAATCCATGTTTATCTGGTCCCAAGGCAAGTATGCGGTTTTGGTTGACAGATACATAAGCCATGTCAATCTCAAGTCATGTCGCGCCACAGATTGACAGTCAGTGAGAAAACAATCTGCCAATCAATCTACAAATAACAATTATATTTGTAGCCGTATTCGTGTGGAATGAAACACTATCTTGCTGTCACTATTTACTTTTGAATAGATAATGACTAAATGTTTGTTGCAATTATTAATAAAAATTGACTTTGGACAATCAGCACAAGGACCACTATGTGGTGTAATCAAACTATCGTTTTGAAATGACAATTTTCTCCTCTTTTGACAATCATACATTGTATGATCACCAAGTCTAAAACCGAGTATTGGGGCTGACTGTTCTGATGTGGGGTTGACTGCAGCTGTAATGTGAACATTCGGTCAGTATTTTTATACAAAAATGAGCAGACTAGTAAACTTTATTGATGGGTTGAGATGGCAATGTTATCGAGTGAATTTGCCAGATACTAACACCAATCATTTTAAAATGGACTGTTTATTATGGTTTTTGATACCCTTGTTTAATGTTTCATTTTTGACATCCAGTCAAGTGGTTGGATCTAAACACGTTTGGCTAGATTGAGATGAATAGAAATTGCCAATTGAAACGTGTTTAAAACCTTTCATTTTAGGATATAGATGTGAAAAGCTTTTCACTCATGATAAAGTATAAAATCTACATGGCATGGTGCAGTTTTAATAAACTCTTTATCTAATAATCAAAACACAGTATGCATAGCATATTTAGGTTACTGCTATTTGTCTATTCACTTTGAGTATCAAACATGTTTAAAATACCCCTAAACAAGCAATTTGCATTTCCGAGAGAATTATTTGCGTCCATTGATTTCCAGTGTGCTTGATGGATAAAATCAACAAGAGCATGTGCGGTGTTGTTGCATGCCATTGGCTCAACCCTAATTTACAAGCTTATACCATCAAGGTCGAGTGCACGCTAGCACGCTCAAGAAACGACGCTTTCAAGATCGTGTCCAAGATTGACTGGCATATAAAAAGAGTTTAGGTTTTCCAGATAAACTTGGTTGTATTCATCAACACTTGCATTTCAAGCCTGGTATACACACAAGCATATTTCAATACAAAACTTTGAGCCATGCAAATGAACCATCTACTTGTCATCCTGCTTGCTGTTATTCCATGCACTTTTGGCACTACAGTACCTAAAACGAGAGCTACTAGTAAAGCTTCCATCAAAAATGTAGTTGTTTTGATTATGGGTGTGTTTGAATTGCTTTGATGAATTTAACACGAACATATATTTGGAGATCATTCAAATGTTGCTTGCTACAGCGTAATAGATAACCAGTGTTTGATTGTTTTACAGAAAACCGATCGTTTGATTCGATTCTGGGTCGTCTCAAGTGGGATGGTACCAATTCAAATGTCGACGGTCTTACGGGTAACGAATCCAACAAGCTTGCCAATGGACAAACTGTTGGGATCCAACGGGGTACGAATCCCAAGGCTGGATTTGATCCTAATCACGAACTGCATGCCGTGACTGAACAGATTTATGGTGCTGGCACGGTTAATACCCAGGGCAAACAGCCAACCATGGCAGGATTTGCTCAGCAGGCTTTTGTTGAAAGCAAAGGAAATATGGATTCTGTCAATCAGATCATGCAGGCATTTGGTCCTGATACCCTTCCTGTTACTTATGCGCTTGCTCAAGAATTTGCCATTGTTGATAACTGGTTTGGTGAGTCTCGTAAATGAGATTGTTTCGAGTCTAACTCCTTTGGCTAATGCTGCAAATGTGTTGGATTGAATTGCAATAGCATCAGTTCCTGGACCGACTTTTCCTAACCGACACTTTGCTCATTGTGCCACGGCATACGGCTACACTGGAAATGACGGCGGTTTTCTCGGTATTCCATGCAAAACTATTTATCAGAATTTGGAAGATGCCAATATCTCCTGGAAGATTTATGCCGACTCGTTGCTAGTTACAACTCTGTTGTATCGAGATATGCGTAGTATTTATCGTCTTGGGAAAATGCACCAGTTTAATACTTTTGTTAAAGATGCGGCAGCAGGTAATCTTCCCCAATATTCGTTTCTTGATCCAAGCAGTCTTAGCGAAGATGATCATCCACCCAACAACCTTCACGCAGGCCAAGCCTTTATCAAGCGTGCATATGAGGCTCTCAGATCCTCGCCGCAGTGGGAAAACACTCTTTTTCTAATCACTTACGATGAAAACGGTGGGTTTTACGACCATGTTACTCCACCCACCAATGTTCCCATTCCGGATAGTCAAGCTCCTTACCCGCCTGTTGGCGACTTTAAATTCGATCGCCTTGGTCCTCGTGTTCCTGCTCTTGTTATCTCACCGCTGGTTCCAAAGGGTTCCGTTATTCATAACCGCAATCCCAATCGCCACTTTGAACACTCGTCTATTCCCGCAACGCTTAAACATGTCTTCAACTTGCCCCACTTTTTAACCAATCGTGATGCATGGGCTCTGCCTTTTGATGGCATTGCGAATCTCTCCCAACCAAGAACCGATTGCATTCAAAAACTCCCCAATCCATAAAAAACTCAATATCTATAAATGAATCGTATACATTGAATGTCTATGGATAGAGTTAACTACACCATCATGTTGTACATGTGCGCAGTAATTGTTCAACATAATACGCTGGGTTTTGATTTGCTAGCTCATGCTTATCAATTTGGCATGCTTGACGACCAAGTTTATTTTTACAGTACCATTTAAAAAGTATAATGGTATAAACCCCATTAAAACAATTAGATACAGTCGAATGTTTAAAAAGTATCATCAATTGATATATTCGGTAAATTGAAAAGCCCTGTATTGACAAGAGTGCTGATTGCACAAGTGAATGAGATATGACATCGAGAAAAATAAGTAAAATAAACATAATAAGCAGCTCTTGGATAATTAAAACAGAGCAAGTCAGCCCAATTCATGAGAAGGCCGAGTGGATCGTGGACTAAAACCCATATTCATGTCAGAATCAATTGGTTTTAGATTACCCAACTCCTTGCTTTCCAAGACTGTATCCGCTTCAACGAGTTGAGGAAAAGTGTCGGTTCGTTCATCTAGACCACCTTCATGTTTTAAATTCCATGGATCATTGTTCCAATAATCTTTGTCTTGAATAGATTCGTCCATGTCAACTGAAAGATCGTGACTCGATTGTGCTTTGAGCAGATTTTCTGAAGAATAGACAACAGTATTGGGCATCGAGGTTTCCAGTGTAAGTTTTGGAATCAAGTCGTCAGCGACAGTGTTGTCGTCATACCCGTCAGTATCCACCGACTCGTCTACATCGTTGATATCCTCTTCCTGTTCGTCAGAAAGCTCGCTATTGGAGTCTTCAGAATTGTCGGAATCATCAGAATCGTAGTCGCCGTAAGTCGACCCTCCATCAGCAGTAATACTCAAAACACGATCCTTGAACCAAGAGTTGAAATCCACCATTAAAATATCGGGATCGCCAACAAAGAAATGACACAACAACCCACTAGCTGTGGGTCGCTTTTCTGCATCAACGGTCAAAGCCCATTGAATAAACTCTTTGGCATCAGCAGATACTTTGTCAGAGATTGGTGGAGAATTTCCCATTCCAAGCAAATAAATGATATTTCCGGGAACTTTAAACCATGGATGCTCGCCTGTCAGCATTTCCAACACCAAACAACCCAAAGACCAGATATCTACTTTGGCACTATATCCTTTTCCTCTGGCCACTTCTGGTGCCATCCAATAAATAGATCCTTGAAGCGACATCCTTGTCATACGTTGGTAAGCCATATACTCGTTCTTTTTTGATATACCAAAATCAGAAATCTTTACTCTTCCTTCGTTGTCAATCAGCATATTTGCACCCTTTACATCTCGATGAATAATGTTTTTAGAATGCAGGTACTCGATCCCACATAGAATTTGAGCAGTAAAGTTTTTGACAATATGCTCATCGAATTTGCCACATTTCGCTAGACACCCAGCAATCGATCCACCAGAAACATACTCGAGAAAAACATTGAATGCCGTATTGGTAATTTCGAATCCAAGATATTGAACGATATTGACATGATCCAAATCTTTGAACAGTTCAATTTCACGTCGAAGTGAGTCTTCTTGTTTCATGCGTTGAGGATTGTCATCTCCACCAAGAATCACTTGCTTGACTGCCATGATAGCACCCGTGTCAAGATCAAGAGCGTGGAATACTCGACCAAATGCGCCTTGACCAATCAGTTGACCTTGTTCCCATCGCACAGGAGCTAGTTTTTCTTTTGCTAGGTCAATCACTGCAAGAGTAGATGAATTCGGTGGAGTTAGGCCAGAAACCGTGTCATCTTCGCTGATCACTGATGAGGATAAATCTGAAATGGCAAGTGATGTTGCAAAACGGTTGTCCACTGTTTGTGGACGTGCTTTGGCAAACAAAATGGATTGACGCACAGACACGGGTTGTGGATTAAGCACTTGACCCAAAGCCATATCGTTTTTGAATCCTGCAGTGACTGGCCCGTCTTCGGCAGAGGGTCGCAGTGGTACTGTAGTGATGACGGGTTTAAGCTCATTTGCTTGTACTTTGACTGAATTGATGCCAATCGTATCTGAATTTCTAGGTGTAGGATCATTATCAATCGTAGACATGGATTCAAAATAATCCAGTCCGTCGTCGTCAAATAATTCTTTTTCTGTAATAGTAGATACCCGCTTAGCTCGTTCAATCCAAGCCGATTCAAACTCTGAAAGGGGAATCTCTACAGTCGTTTCAGAGCCCATTTCAAGAAATTCTTCCAACAGTGGAGTTTGAAACTGAAAACGAGGCAACGAAAAGTTTGAAGAATGGCCTAAGCTGGTATCCAAACCTTTGCTTGAAAAATTGGTATTTTCACCTCCACCTTGACTAGTAGATAATTTTGTGCCAGTACTGAAATCAATGCCAGGACGAACGCGGTAGCTGGCACCTGTGCTGCTCATACTTCTGTTGAGTCCAAGTTCACCACCAGATTGACTGGAATGGTTTAGATCACCAGTATGTGGCCCAACTGGACCCAGCTGGGTAAGTCTACTCATGCGTTGCATCAATACAGCAGATCCCCATGGTACCTGCGAGTTTCGCTTATTGATAATGGCTGCTTGAGCAATACCTCGAATACTGTCAATCGAAACCAATGGTTCCTGATGTAAAGAATGCGTCGAGTCAAGTTTAGCTTCACGATCTCGTTCCAAATCTGCATTAGCAACTGCAGTAGCTCGCAAGGGATTTTTATCTCCTCTATATGCTTCAGTCTGACCTTCTTTTGGTGAAAGCAGGGATACAAATGAACCAGATCCAGCAGAAAGGGGTTGTTGATGTGATCGAATTTCTACATTTTTTCCCAAAGCGGTTTGTTTGAGTCCAGGGAAAAAATGCTCAAGCTGGTCCACAATCATTTCATCAGATGGTCGTTCAGCAAAAAAGGAGGCTTTACGCGGTTTACTGTTATTTCCACTATTACGAATACTACCGCGCTTGACTCCTTTTCCTCCACCAAAACCATCTGCACGATTTGCTGAGCCTTGCTGAGCCACTGTGTGATTAAACGGTGCCAGTTGTGGCTGGTTATGCGGTGGTTTGCTATGGGGAGTATTGCCGCTATAGCCAGACCGTGGAGGAAAGTGCATGTTTTTAGTGTATGTGTGATTTTCTAAAACTCTATCCATGTAGTTGCTTGTACCAGAGGGTCGACGGCGAACTGACAAATCATCCAATGGATCAGGCCGCTTTGACCTCATTGCTAATTTTCGATGTGGTGATGCCATTTGTGCTCCACTTACAATTGGCGCAGGTACACCAAAAAACTTTGTTAATTTGGACATGGACCGTTCATCTATAGCATTTATTAAAAAGTTGTTTCAAGTCAATTAAAAATACAACTATTCAGCCCATTTAAATTACTGTATAGAGTGCAGCACTTACTTTCAACACTTGCTGGTAAGCCTAGATTCAATGCATGGGTCGATCGTTTACGTAATATAATTTGTCCGCGATGCTCGTTATCCGACTGGCAGATTGCATAAAGTTCTGCATCATCCAACAAAACCACTAGTAATCATAATAGTAGATGGTTAAATTAAAGCTGTCTTGATCAACAGATGTTAAATTGTATACAATAAACAATCTTACTATGTTCACGGTTTGATGATGCCAGATCGTAGATATATAGCGCATACATGCTACGCTCACGTAAATCGCTAATATTGAATTTGGAAAGAATACGATCACGAATTACACGGGGATCGTTCAAATCAGATACACGAATAATGTGTTTTTGATTCTTCATATCAAACACTCGAATATAACTCTAGTTTATCAAAACCATACGAAAAAAATTTGCAAAATAAATGTTAGACATGATACCCAATAGATTAAGGTTTTGAAAAAGCAGATTGAATTTACCTCACGAATATCTCGCATATCCATAAAGTCGGCATGCTCATCAACAGTTTTTACTGGTTCGCTAGGAGCCAAGCCAGCATGAATGAGTTGTTGGTGTAAGGAGTGTGTTTCCTCCATCAATGTCACAATTGAATTATCTTTTTGATCTTTTGAATCTTTGCTAGAACCTTGACTAAATCCACCTTGAGATAAAAAGGGTTTTGGCTGCATAAGAAGCTGATAGAGGGGTGATGCCGAGTCAGAGTAAAGCGTGCTTCCCTCATCGTTATTGACAGAATCATCAACATTTTTCATTGATGATGAGCGAGGGAGTATTTGAAGATTTCCTTTCATATGTGGTAGACCAGAAGACATGGGCATAGGAGAAACACTTGGACGTAAGCGAATACATGGATTAGAAGCAATAGACGGTTGATTATCGCTATAGGTATTTGATGTTCCAGATCTATTTGTACCCGAGTACATGGATTGCTGCTGAAATGAATGACTTTCCACATAGGGTGAATTTGAAACATTAGAGAAATCGGAGCGCCAGCCCGAGCCCAGTACAGGTGATGTCAAATCACGTTTAGGGGAAGTTTGATCAGGCCGACCTATGACGACTGATTGATTATAATTTTCATTAGTTAAACCTTCAGATAGATGTGAGCTCTCAGTGCGCGACAAAGGAGCATGGGTAGCATTATATTCTGGCCATATATCCACGCTGCTAGATAAAGGAGCGCTTAAAGCGGATCCGGTTTTTTTGGATACAGACGAGTTTAAAGTAAGATTTGTGGTAGAAGTATTTATAGAATTTGAGGTCAATTTTTTAGAAATGGTGGACCCAGATGTCAGGATAGCGGTAGAGTTTAGCATTTTCCTATGATCATTCTGATTAGAAAGAGATCCAGCCCTACGAGGACGAGGAACGACTTGTTGCTGTTGCTGTTGTAAAAACTGCATTTGTTGATTTTGTTGATTAGGATGACCAAGATGCAAAGCATGATTGGAGTGAGGAGAGTTTTGCAAGAAATTAGGATTATGATGATAGTGATGAGCCTCATGCGGACCACTAACAGATCCAACACTGACCGATGCAGTGGATAATGGCAAAACAGGATGAAATGAAAAATATGGGGATGGAGTTGAAGCCGACGCGGAGGGTATGGACGGAGAAGTGGAGGCACTGTTGAGCGAGTTGGTAAGATTTGAAAATGAAGATGGATGTGGTTGCTGATGCAACAACGGAGGAGAATTCATTTGTAAATGCAAGTTTGACTGCAGTTTACTGTTGGAATGGATGGACTGTTGCTGAGGATTTATGTAATATTGGTTTAGATTTAATGGGTGTCGCATCGAAAGTGGAGGACTTGCATTGGCAGACTTTCCACTAGTACAAATCTCTTTTTTACTCAAAGTATTTACACAAGGTTCTGAAGTAACAATACTGGATAGAGCAGCAGCAGGATTGGTGTTGCCAGATGAGGTTAATCCTGCAGTTGTATTATTACCACTTCTCTGTTTCTGTAGTAATTGAAGCTGCAGTGAATGTTGTTGTTGCTGATGTCTTCTTAATGACTGTAGAATCCTGGCACTATCTCCGACAATCCTGATGCCCATATCTCTCAATGAAGTGTAGTTGAGTTCCAACAGTACATCTCCAGAAATGCGGTTATCAATAAAAGTCTGAGCATACTGTTCCAACCCCAGTTCCTGTAGCCATTGCACTACTCTTTGCTCACTCCATAGTGAGATATCATCTTGCCGTTGAACTATTCCTGTGATAATACCACTAGGAACGGATGACATATTTCAAAGCAATAATAGTTGCTGTCAGATCCGATATTATTGTCGGATTCACGTAAAGTGTAACTTGTACAAATTTTATATTTCTTGTAAGAAACTATTTTGATTTTAATTCTAAAAAACTGTTTTTTTGATTCCAAGAAACTGTTTCTTATAAACTGTTTTTGATTATAAAAAACTGTTTCTTATAAACTCTTGTTTCATTTCAATCATTTCAATCATTTAAAATCCATTTATAAACTTGTGTTTTACATCAAACACACTTGTAAATTCAAGTCTCGATTTTTTTCAATTATTTTTCTAGTTTTACACTTTACTCGTTTCTATCATGTCAATGCTGGATGGAGCTCTTAAAGGCTTGATTCGTGGTGCTGTGCGGAGAAGACTCACTACAAAAGATGGAAACAAAAACTATTATAAAGGAACTGGCAGTGGTAGAATGGGTCATTGGACTCTTAAAGGTATTGAATTCTATTGTTGTTGAATTGGCAAGTTTCATGTCTGATCTTTATCTACTTGACACTCTCTTATAGGTCAGTACATTATTGAACCATGGAGATTGCGTCAGTTTATGATTCCTAATCTACTCGAGTGCGAGGTATATTCATGATAGATTCAAACATACAATCTTGTTTTTATGATCTTGTCTGTACTCATCCTGCTGTTTAAACCTTTTAGCTGAAACCATTTGTATCTCCTAAAGCAGATGATGATATTCGAAAAAGACACAATCTCATCGACTACTTTAACCAAACACCAGCTTTAGAGGATGAGCTAGCGACTGTCGATCAAACTGTTCCAGAAGACAAGCAGTCTTTGCTCATGCGTGCTTGTAGTGAAGTAGCTCATGCTGCTTACTCTACCATTCGTGCTCCAAAACACAAGACAAAATTCATCAAACCTCCAAAGAAACTTCATCCAAGAGATCGAAACTAATTTCAATTAAGATTTGATGTTTATTAGTCTTGTAGATTTGAAAACCAGTTTGTAGAGTTTGGGTTTGTACTTGACTAGTTAGATGATCGTTGTTTCATTTTTCAATCATCATTTGAATGGTCGAAAAATAACATTCAGTTTTATAGAAAACACCAGATTGAAATCCCAACAAAACTCAACCACCAAACCATCAAAATACTCTCCGATTCAACTGCCATGGCAGCACCGTAAAATATAGAACTATTTCCTGGTTTGCCTAACCCTAATCCACCTGGAATACCATCATTCATGCCTGGAATGGTGATTTCCGAATTGCAGTCAACATTCATGGGTTTGCCATCATTGTCTAATCCATGAACTGGCATGGCTTGAAAATTGGGATCATTGTTTTTAACTAGAAATTGATAGCTTTTGATCCGAGTTACTGTCGGCGCATCTGTTTGATTATATTTATTCCAAACATCAATCTTGTTAGTATTTGACTATAATTGGAATTTTCAAACTCAATCCATTGCTGCTTACATGCACCACCCATCGCAATTAGCTTTTTTTCACGATCGTCTAAAAACTCGGAAATCCATTCCAGCTCATTCTGTGGTCCTGGAGTACCACGACGAGCAGTAACCATCTGTATTAACTCGTGCGTTCCTTGCGCTCCTAGTTGAATTGTCGAGTCGTAAATTTGTCCAATAGATACTGTATAGATTTAAACTCGTTAACGTATTAACATGTAATGTTTGATTTCAACATCATCCAATATCGATACCTGCATACGACAATCCTGCATCGGTAGCTGCCTTTTGACTTGGAATAAAATACATTTTAGCCAGCATGGCTATTTGAGCATCCCGAAACTCTGGTCGTTGTGATGCTTTACTCCATGCATCACAGTATCCATCCAATCCCGCAACAGACGACACCAACCCACTTGCATCACCAGACGCGCCTGCTTTCAACTGCAATGTGATGGCTTCCAATGTTGCGTTCATGACTGTAAACTCATTGGGATGCACTCGATCAGAGTAAAATTGAATCACTTGTTCAGCCGATCCAGTCCCAGTTGTAAATTGAACGATTCCTGCCGAGTATCCATGACCATCACTCAACTGCACACACGGATCAAACTGAAATCTATACAATATTTCAGACAGGTTTAATCAGATTGACCCAACTAACCCCACACCAGCGTAAAGTTTCAACACATGAAATCATAAGTTGCAACGTCATGGCAAACATTTACTCTTGATGACTGGTTTCAAACACGTTGGTGAGCTTAAGAATGATACTTGTCTGGCATGAATTGGTAGCAATTTTATCTGGATCGCCATAAGCCATTCCATTTAGCATACCAATCAAAACGATTCGAGTAAAAATGAGTTTCATTAGAGTTGTGACTGTTAATATAAACTAAATGCAGACACAGGTTGACCAAGTACATAAAGTGAAAACCTTGCCAAATATAAACATCTAGATTAGAATTGAACAAGATTCACTTGGAATGTGTAATTATACAAGTTTAAACTTGTTCAAACCGTTTATTTAAAAAAGTCCAGTTTAAATATCTGATGAGAACCAACATTTGGTTCAAGTTTGAAAAGCAGATTGTTTATTTAGACAATATGAGAATCTATTCAAATACATACAGCCGTATTCATATAAAATGAAATGCTATTTTCTAGTAATTGTTTCTTGCTTTGAAACAGGTAATGGCCGAGTATCTGCGCTTTTCTATTGGAATTTGACTATTTTAACACACCGTTCATCATATGATACAAACTCGGTTTGCACTGGACTTTTCTTTTGATGTCACCATGCATTGTACAATCTTTGGTGGTATTCATCATGCCATGAATGACAGTAGTATAGATAGGGCACCAAATGATACCAGATTTTGTAAGCGATAATTACTACTGAATGTTGTACAAAGTTGTCAAATAGCAAGCTATCGGAGATAAATAATTCAAGTCAAAAACTTTAGGTTATAATTCGATTGTGATTTAGTTGTCTAAACTGTATGGAAAATTACCCAAAATGGATTTCCTGGAAGCTGGTGAATCTCAAGTCAGTCAATTTCCCCGGAAAACTCGCCTACAAATTCTGGTATCATTCAGTGTCCTATCTATACTATTAATGGCTATCCATTATGTATTTTTGCATCATCAGATGTTGCATGGATGATTGTGAAAATAGCTGAAAAAATGTATAACATTAAGCCAATTGTTATTATGTATCCTCGTTAGTCCAGTGGTTAGGATACCTGTCTCTCACACAGGTGGCCGGGGTTCGATTCCCCGACGGGGAATTTTTTGCATAAATTTATGTTCATGACTTCAAATCTGTGTGAAGTTTGAGTCATTAAAAGCTTTTTGATAGTCTAAATTAGACTTTCACTCTACATGATGATTTACAACTAAAACATGTGATTTGTTTGCGACCCGATATGGTTTCAGAAAAATCCGGCTCAAGTGAACGTAGTGAACAGCAGCGTGTTTCATCAATACGAGTCAATGAACATTAAATTGAATTACGGTATTTATAAATACCATTCACATTGTTGTTCAAATCATTATTGGAAATTAAATATCAGGCTGCTATGCATATCGGGGTTTTGGCCAGATCATATCCTTTGATTGTATTGCGCATGATTGAGTTACTGGATGATCCATTCGCACTTTTACGTACATGTCGGGCGTTCTGGATGGTCGGAAAACATACAAAGATTCGACTCATATGGCTTGTAAATCATAGTCAACACCGGCTAAAGGAATTCAACACCGAGTTGAATTCCGAGCGACAACTACAGCTTGTGCAGAGTGTTTTCGAGACTGGTGTTCAATACCATATCTTGACTACCAGTGTGTGGTCACAGTTGCTATTTCACTTGAACAGCTCTTTACCGAATATTCAAAATCTCAATCATGAGTCTTTTTGTCTAAATACATGGCTTGCCAGATGGGGAAAGTATGACATTCTCGTTCTTGCGCTTACCTACGGATTTTGCAACGCAAACGACCTGTTAAAAAACCTTGTTCGATTTGGTCATGTCAACCAAACACTTGCACTTCTTGAGCATCCTCAACTTTTTTATAAAAAGTGCATTACATTACCTCACAAAGTATTTCGATACCTCGCTCCATCCAATGTACTATGTTTGATCGACAACCAAAGCATATCTATTCAATCCTTTGTTCAATGGGGTACATGTCCCATTGGTCAGCATACGTTGCGGCAAGTTCTTGATGGTAAACTGGGATCCACATCGACCCAATCTAAATGTGCTGATCTGTTTAGAGAGGTATCCGAAGAATTGATTGTCTACGCGATCATGAGAAAAGACCAAAGATTGGTTTCATTTATTCTGAGTATGCCCAAACATACTTGTTTGAATCTAGCCCGAGTGCAACGTATTGCCATTCAAGGTAAAATAGCCGCCATGGCAAATCTTGATGAAAAACAGACAGATCAACATCACACTCTAAATATTACATAGCGGTATACCATCACAAACGTTTAACCAAGCTAATACCCATATTCCGTTTGATCATTTACGGTTGTACTTGTTTAAAATGAAACATTTGTATTTATCTTGCAGTGATTTTTGTTTGGGATAAAATGGCTAAATATGTGTGTTGTGTTTTCCTATTAGAAATTGACCGAGTGTTTGGAATTGCTCAATAAACAAAACCATTATTATTATACCAGGTAACGCTCAACAGAATTTAACAATAAATATGAAGCTCTAGTCGCAATATTGTCGTGGGTTGAATGGTTTGTACCATGTCGAATCAGTCAATTTGATGAAAGCCAGCACTCGAGTTTCATGAAACCAGCTGCTTATTATATGACATTTGGTGTTCCATTTTTACGTGAATACAACGGTAAAGCAAATGGTTGTAAAATTACACTTTTATTGCTTCAATCGTTTACATGCACAATATTTCACAGGGCTAGCGGATCAGTATCAACGCCAGCTAAATCATTTAGAATTTTCAAAGCCCCATGCTTATCGATCGCTTGATTGCCATATCGGCATGACGTTGACCATACACAAGACTCGCATCCATCAAGACACTCGCATTTACTTAAACTATGTGCGGCTTTAAGAATCAAATATGGCATAAACCTTATCATACGCTCCACAAGTCCCATTTGCCCTGAAGAGTCGTATAGGATTATTCGTGGCGACCGTGATTGCTTTACATTTGGTGATTTGCACTCGTGAGCAATACTATGCATGCTGTCAGTATTAGTAGATGTATACAAGGGCAATATGGATTTTAAGATGTGCGTAGCAGCATGAATACTAAATTCAATATCATGATTTTTTTGCTGAATTGCCAAAACTGTGCTTAATGGGACTAGAATTCATGCAAATGTGTTAGACCAGTTTATCATTTGAAATTCTAAACAATAATTTGAAATATTAAATGTCAATGTTTAAAGTAAAACTCAACTGTCAATCCAAATGCCTGATATAATACGGTTATAAGATGTTGTTTGATTGGTATCAACATACTCCAGCACTGCCATTGTTTTTGGATTAAGCTTCAGATATCCAAAAACGGTAGTTTCAAGTTCCATTTTGCCAGCTCTGCATTGAATTGAATCTAGGCCTGTACTTTTCTTCAATTGAGTCTGCACTGATTTAGATCCCCGTGTTGAAACTGGATCAATCCTTGTAAGACTTTTACACTTTGTAATGTATTCAATGCAGGGAAATGCACGCTTTGCTCTAGCGAGTTTCTGATTGATGTTGACATCAACTATCAAATACACATTTCCCATATGAAGAAACACTGCATCAGGATAAAGTGTGAAGGCTACTTTTTCAGGTTCAATGGATTCAATAACGGTTCTGGTGGAAATATCCATCACCACAAATGCGTTGGAATCAGCATTCGCGAGCAACATGCCTCGGATTGATATGTCAGATGAGGGATTGCCTTGGTATTTGGACGCACAAATGTATGCATTTTGAACTACATCAAACCGTAAATGTTGATCGCACATATACTCTAGACGATTGATTGTATCTTCAAGTGTGGCATCCTCATTAGGGGATACAAATAATGCGGCATCTTGCATAGGATTGAATGGGATTTCGGCTGATGCACATTGTAAATGGGGCTCAAGAAGTTCTTGGTTGGAAATATCAACAATAACGTTTTCAAATGATGTTGTTTCAAATAAATAGCTAGGATTCTTGACCATGCATTGATCACCAGAATTGGTATCCTCGGCAATCTGCACAAATAAATAAATGAGTAATGTGTAGCCATTTAAATTAAAATAGTGTCGATAATACTGTACCAAAATAGATAAAGAATGTTTGCCTCTTCGACCTGCACGGCCTAGCTGTTGGTGATAAGACGCAAAACTAAATGGAAATCCGCAGTGAATTACCACATCTAGCACGCCAATATCAATTCCAAGCTCTAAAGCATTTGTCGAAACAATGCCAAGTAGTTCTCCGCAAAACAACTGGGATTCAATCCGACGCCTATCGCTTGAATTATAACCACCACGATACGACGCAATTTTTTTGGAAAGTTCTGGATTAGTTTTTTGAATCACTGCTACAGTTTCACGAAAAACTAATTCGCAGAGATTTCGAGTCTAAAATACAGCAAGTGAAAGCTTATCAGTCACTACAATTATATAGTTTCATTCTTATAGACAATGCACAGATAAACCATCAAACCTTTGTAAAGCATATAGTTTTCACTTGCTTTAATATACAAAACGCAAAAACTTGCGCAGTTTCATCCAGTACACTTAACCGCCCGAGCGATGGAAAGTCGATAAAACGATACGGTGGATTCCATATAATCTGGTGTCGAGCACCCATACCTGATGTGTCGTTTGTAACAGCAATCACATCCTCCACGCCTACCAATGTCTTCATAAGTTCAAAAGGGTTTCCAATTGTAGCTGAGCAGCCAATAAACTGGACGTGGTTGTTGCCATAGAATCTACATATGCGTAGCAATCTTCGCATCACTAACGCAAAATGCACACCCAGTTTTCCTGTGTAATAATGCATTTCATCTATAACAACAAACCGTAAATTCATCAAAAATGAATGCCACAAAGCATGATGAGGCAAGATTGCAGCATGTAGCATGTCTGGGTTGGTTAGTGCTATGGATAGTGTATTTCGAAGATTTTTTCGAATATTTGAGTTGGTCGAGGTATCCCCATCAAAAGTGTCGCATACACTATGGGTTAGATGAGGGAGCTGACAAATTAAATTGTTCAAAGATCGTTTTTGGTCTTGCGCAAGTGCTTTTGTGGGGAAAATAAGTATAGATCGTGAATGCGGAATACGCTCTAGTTCATAAAGTATAGCTAGTTGATATACAAGAGACTTTCCACTAACAGTATTCACATGTTATAGTTTAACAAGTAACCGAGTTTTAAGAATACAGACATTATTTAAACATATTTTCAAACCTTGAAGTAGAGGCAGATAAAATCACACTATGACCATCTTGGATAGCGTGCAGTGCTTCGGTTTGATGTTCGTAGCAATGATAGATCTTGGTAAATGATTGAATTGATTGCCATGTTTTGGACTGCTCGATTGCTTTGGGTAATTTTCCATACTTGGCCTCGCGAATAGCAGTGACATGATGATGGGTAGAACCAATCTGATCGCGATAAAACGGCGTATACTTTATGGATGAAACAATGTCAGCAGCAGTTGGAATATCACTGCTGGATACATTTTTGCTTGGATCGTGCACATTTAAAGTGGATATACAAGCAGATGGCTCGTTGATGAGTGATGTTTGGATATAAGGATTACAAGGTAGCGCAGTTGATTTGGCTTGGTTTAAAAACAATTCAATGTCGGTTTCTAGCAGTTTGGCTTTTTGCCAGAAACTCATCAATCGAGTATAGAAATCCATACTGCGACGTTCCACAGCGAGTTTATTCATTTTAGCAGATGCACCTTTAGACATGGATTTTTTGAACATGGCTGTATCTGAGAATGCAATTGTCAAAACTGGTTCTAAAGTTTGGATTGAATCAGCAAGTCCAGCCGCAGTTTTAAGTTCAATTGTAGATCCATCGTTTCGATACAAACTTTGAACCCACTTTATAACCAGCATATCCTGAGCAATGGCTTTTACGGCTGCTACATCTATCAGTGTGATTTCCCTATTTTTTCAGTCCAATGATTATATGAACATCATGAGTTTAAAACGGATCAAGACTGTACTGGATGCATTCAAGTGGTTGCATTTAAAGAAATATACCTAGCAAGCAGTTTAGATACGGTAGTGCGGATCGCTTGATAAGAACATTCACAGAGTGGATTTAAAGCAGCGGCCAGATTGATACCTTCAAAGACATTTTTAGCATCCAGCAGCGACAAAGGCAAATCCAAAGGATATAAAGCAAACTCTGGAACAGTAGATGATTGTTTTTTTCGAGTATTGCTGGTGTCTGCCGTCTTTCTCTTTCTCTTTCCAGCAGCAACGATGGCAGATCTTTCCATTGCAGTTCGCGGTTTACCGAGAATGTTGGATAAATGCGCGACCACGTGTATGAACTGATCGTACTCGATCAAACAACATTATCAGTTCACGTGACTAGGAATTGGAATGTTCAAATTACAACTCGCAAACTTTGACCAACAAAGTCATGCATTCAGGCCAGGCAGCAGCAGGTGGGCTATCGCACTGCTGTTTCTAAGATATAATTGCAGCATAATTTACAGAATGAGAATTGGCGGTTTAATTGAATAAAGACTGAATTTCTCATGTTTGGGCTTGCAATGGCCGCCAGATAAATGGCAACACCGCTTTGTATTGCTTGACATTTATGAATGATTCTCAACGATTTTATCTGAATTGATTATCTTTAGGCACCGCTGGCCTTTCGTTTATTCATCCACAGGATTTAATTCAATACAAACAACTGTTTCTATCTGCTAATGGAGGAAATGCATCCATTTCAATGTCTTGTAAGTCGGATTTATCGAGATTTAAACATTGAATTAAATGTGTTGGATGAGTTAATGCTGGTTCTATATTAAGCGATTGTTTGTTTAGTTGATATGAAATTCATACATTTGATATTTCATCCAGAACATCTACTTGATAGTTCATACCTTGTCTAACTGTTTTATTTTTTGGTCAACCCATTAGCTATTTCCGCCCAGCAAGTATTTATGCAATCTGGCCTGCCTACTACTACCCTTGCAGCCATTTGGTATGTTATGGTTAATTTAATTATACGACAAACTGTTCAATTGGAATTAATCTTTTTATATTATTTAGGAATCTGTGTACAGTAAATGGAGGGCAAACACTTACATTTGCCGAGTTTGCATTGGGCATGTTTTTGGCTAAACTTGCACTGAGTGGATCTCCACTTCCTCCATCGCTTCCTCCAGATGTACATCAACAGGTTTTGGCGGCATCTGCTACATCTGCGCCTGGATCTGGATCTGGACCTGGACCTGGATCTTACTCGGTTTCTTCAGGCTCGCGGTCTGTTTCTGGTTCCTACGGAAGTGCTTCTCCTAACATTGCTCCTTTATCACAGCCAATAAATTCGCCCTTGATTCCACAATTGACTGGTATGTCCTCGTCTAGTTCGATCGCATCGCTACACGGTCCAAAACAGACGTTACAAATTCCACAACAGTTTCAGCAACAACGGCGAGCGTGGATTATCACACCTGCTGAAAAAGCACAGTATGATGTCACTTTTAAAACATGGGATCCAACCAACTCTGGATATATGGATGGTGCGTATCACCCAATTGTCTTTATAAAGTGTATTACTTGCTCATCTCTATTTTATGTAACATAGGCGACCGCGCTAAACAAGTGTTTGCGCAATCAGGACTTTCGCAAAACATTCTTGCTCATATTTGGTCACTTTGTGATACCCATCAAATTGGTAAATTAAACTCGGACGAGTTTGCCGTTGCTATGCATATCATTTACAAGAAACTCAATGGCCACGATGTCCCAGTGACACTTCCACCAGAACTTGTACCACCTTCTACTCGTGATTTGAATGAACTTTCTGCTTATGCAAAGACAGAGGCGTCCAAGATGCAATCTACAAGGAGAATTAGTCCGTCTGCATCTCTGTTGGGAATCAACTCCGAGTCTTTTACTCAAAAACTACCCAGGTCCCTATCAGGATCCTTCAACAAGGACATGCAGGACCAAACTCGTAGCTCTGTTTCTTATAACTCAAAAGCAGACGAATCCAGGCGATTGGAGAGTCTTGCTTTGGTTGAAGCCAAGCGTAAAGAAATTGCAACCATCAAGAGTAAGATTGAAGCAGATTCGCGCGAGTGTACCAACATTGAGGTTAAGCTGAAAAACTTGGAAACTCAAAGTGTATTTGCCGAGGAAAACATTGTTGAGTTGACCAAAGTCAAATCTAAAATAACACCGCATGCTGGTGTAAGCGGTGTTGGCCCACCACTTTCTGCTGAAGAGATTTTTGAATTTGAGCGTTTGGAAAAGTCGACACTTGCTTTAGTTGATGAGTGCAAACAGCGACAGTTGGAAGTGTCGGATATTAAAACGGCCGCATTGCGGGCTAAACACATTAGATTGGCATCCAACACTCAAGCTTCTGGAACTAATGTGGGTGGTGATGTTGCCAACAAGGCAGCAGCTCTTTTGGCTGCTCGTATGGCTGCACTGGGTGTTGCTCCAAAAGCTCCACTACTTGGTGCTTCCATGTCTACTCCACTACTTGGTACTCCCACGTCCACTCCGCTTGCACCATCTGCATCCACATCTAGTCTTGTGGATGAAATAAGTGCAGTTGATTTACAGAAATTCAGTCGACTACAGGAACTCAATGAGATTCGCAATCGCATTACTATCTACAGTAACCAGATTCGATCCGCGATTACCATTCAAAAAGCATCATCTGGTTTATCTAGTTCTGATTCGTGGAATCCGTCTGTTTCAGATCGTGTCAAATATGAAGAAGGTGTTGGATTGGAGAGTATCAACGCGATTTCTATGCTCGGAAAGTTGAAAAAACTGCGTGGCAGAGCCGTCGATACTATTGTGACTCCAAACACTCACTTGAGATCTACTCACGAGCCAATCGCTTCATCATTTACATCTGATGTCGCTTACACTACTACTCCTGCTATAAGTTCGCATCCTTTTTCAGCTAATTTGCAAGCAAATCAACCCTTTGGTGCTGTTCAGTCAGAAACTCCTCGTTACCCAAGCACATTTGCCAACTCACACTTGGCGTCTCCATCGCTTCGTTCTCAATCAGAAAGTATGGCTAATGTGCTTGCTCAAGCTGATGCAGCTACTTTGGCGGCAAAAAAACGAACTTTTAACCGCACTGCTGATATAAATGCACGGATTGCAGCCGCTACTGCTAGAGTTCCATCTGTCAGCTCGCCCGTGTCGACTTTAGGCTCAAGTAGTGCTCAAGGATATGGTAGTGTTAATGCATCAACAAGTTCATTTGCGTCAACTTTGAATTTATTGCCCACGGGTGAAGCTTCATCTACAGACTTGACGACTACAATTATACCAACTGCCATTCCTACTAACGCGATCTCTCCAGCTGGTAGACGGCCTCCACCTCCACCTTCATCGACATCTCGGCGTGTTTTATCCAGCCCATCCACTACAACTGTTCCACGAACCACTTTAGCAGATTTACCTGCACAGTCTGTTGCTCTATCCACAGTGTCACTCGAGTCAAAAACCATTCCATCCTTGGTGACATCTACCAATCCATTTGACATGTTTTTATCTGAGCAACATAATGTTCCTTTGATTTCCACGTCTACAAATGCGTTTATGACTTTGACTGGAATTTCAAGCACAAATCCATTTGGCAATTTTGAAGCTAAAACGTCAGTGCCTGTTTTAGAGCCTGCAACTGTGGTGCCTTTAACTAATGCGAGTAGCAAAGAGGAAAATGGTGCCAGCATTGCCATGAAGGCTATTTTCAAACGAGAACAAGATGAGATTCAACGCAAAACGGATGCTATGGCATTGGAAGCGCAACGAAAAACATCTCGTACACCTTCACCCACCAGAATAGGCGGTACTCGGTCACCTTCTCCAGCATCAAAATTGAGTCCATCCCGTATCTTGGCACCAGTTTCAGATACTACAGCTTCATCTTTAGAAAGTCCATTGGCTGCAACGATTACTTCTCATACATCTGTAGTTTCTCAACAACCGAGTCCGACGGCTACTGTATTTTCCAATATACCACCACCACCACCTCCACCACCTGTTCAATCCTTTGCACCTATCCAGTTGGCAGTGGGCACCGGTTCTACAAAAAGCATCTCTGCATCGATCGATAGCCCTATACCGGCTGCAGGTGATACCACGTCGTTGTTAGCATCGGCACTTGCTAGTCATCGCGGTCGTATGGGTATTGCTAGTGACACCGAAGACGAAGCAGGAGGTGGCAGTGATTGGGGCTCAGTATCTAGCAGAAGTGCATCTCCCGTAAAACAATCGGCCAAACCTTTTAATGTTCGTGCTGGAACAATTCCGTTATCGACTGGCATTTTAAGACCGCAATCTGAAACCACTACATCACCAACGTCCTTACCATCTGCTCGTTTTGTTGAAAATTCAACTGATGTACCTGAAACTATTGAAACAATCAGTATACCGGCTGTATCTGTCGGAAATAGCGCACCTCCACCTCCACCACCACCTCCTCCAACAGCTGCAGATGGCTCCGTGATTTTCAAGCCTGTGTCTAAAACTGGATCCAAAGTATCGGGTGGTTTAGAATCTACCACAGAAAAAGCTCGTCCGACTCCCGCTGATGTAGGAGCCAAAGGACCAAATCTGTTTGCTCTTGCTGGAGGTATGATGGGTCCGAATGCTCTAAAAAATACCAAAAAAGCAATATTGAATACTTCAACTGCCACCACGGCTACATCTTTATCTGATTCTGTCAGTCACACATTAAACATGCCATCATCAACTAAAACTGAAAAGACATTTGATATAAACACCACGCACGTAAGCAAGAATACTGCGCTGGAAGAGTGGGAAGTTTTAGGCAATGCTGAAAAGAGTTCAATGGCTGATAAGCAGGCATCTGATATGGTAGCACTTTCTCAGCATGCGATGCAATCTCAAAGCAATCCCAATATTTTTGCATCTACGAATAGTGAGTTTTTATTAGTATAGTGTATTTTTGGAGATGTTTTTGTTTTTTAATCATACATGTTATGGGTGTAGCTCTGCTTACTGAATCTGTAGACAAGTTAATTGCACCCGAGCAGGTACAACCATATGATGCATCTGTTCGTCGAGCTCGTTTACTGTTTGATTTTATTGGTACACGAGCCGATGACTTGACTGTTCATGCAGGAGATATCATTTCCATTGAATCTGAAACCGAAGAATGGCTATTTTGTTCAGTTGTTACTGATGGTTCATCTCATGAAGAATCAAAAACGTCAGGATGGGTGCCCAAAAACTTTGTTGATTTTATTACCGAATCAGAGATGGACACTCGGCAGCGAATCAGTCGTGCGCGTGTATTATATGATTTTAACGCCCAGCATGACGATGATGTTACTGTGACAGCTGGGTTGGTTGTTGATGTAACATCCAAGCAAACCTTGGAATGGTGGCGGGTAAGGACTCCTGCTGGAGATATTGGTCTTGTTCCTCGTAATTATTTGGAAGAACTTTCCGACACTCATGATGGAAACATTGCAAATGTGTTGCACGCTGACCAAAACGATGACGATTCGTTTGGAGGAAACGACAGTAATCATCACACCTTTCATTCTAATACTGGACCTCATGAATCCATGCCTTTTCAAAGCAGCCATCAATTCCAGTCCAACTCTGCTAATACTCATGGTGCTGGTTCAGATGCTTTGGGGCATTTTGGACACGCTACAACCAAGTTTGCTTTGCCAGAGTTGTCCGATTCGCAAAATGCCGCTTACAAAACTGATGATGGCAAAAAATCCGAATTGTTGGATTTTTTGGCAGTTGATAACGGGTGTAGTAATTATGACACTGTTAAATTAGCACGAGTTTCCAGCGAGGACGGAAAACGTGCTGATGCTGTTTGTGAAATGATTCAAACTGAGCGCAATTACGTTCAAGATTTGCACGTAATCATCGAGGTATGTTATGTTGAGTGTTTTGTCATGTCTAGCAGTGCTAATACTTTACACTTGACTGAATCTACCTAGCTTTTTCAAAAACCCATGGAGTTGTTTGTTGATGCTCGTCTAGTGTTTGCCAATATCTGCCAGATTTTGACCGTTAATGAGCTTATTCTTGCCGATTTTGAAAAATATGCATCTGGAGTATCTAGCGAATCGATTGGAGAGATTTTCCTAAAATATCTGGATGACCTTGAATGCTACAAAGGCTACTGCAGCAATTTGTCTAATGCGTCCGAGTTGCTTCAAAAGATGCGATCTGAAACCCCTAGTCTTGACTCATTTTTAAAGGTTAGTCGGTCTACGGAATGTGGCATTCTGCCATTGATGGTGACTTGTTGCTGAGTTTGGTCATTTTCCAGTTCTCCGTGTGGATACACTTTATTTTGTCAGAATGCATCCATTTCAATACCAACATTTACTCGAGTTTTCTTGTTTTATCAAATGTTTGATAATACCGTACGAGTATTTTAGCAAATTAGTTTAGTCGAAACTATGCTTTGATACCTAGTTATTTTCTGTCAAATATCTACCAATACATGACACATTTTTTTATCATGGAAACTAAACCATCTACTACTGCATCCATTGTCAAGAATAAACAAGACACTGCTTTATAGCTCTGTGCTTTTTGATTTTTTTGAAACTGGAGTGTGGTGGATGGCATCTTTTGACTTGCTATTGATGCATCTGCTAGTAATTGTCGGGTTGTTTCTATTGTGTCATTTTATCGATTGTTTAGTAAACTTGATATACATTTTAATTTTTAGAAACAGCAACACCATCCGAGATGTAAAAAACTCGATCTGTCGTCGTTTCTTCTTGTTCCGATGCAAAGGGTAACTCGGTACTCGCTACTTCTTCGTCAAATGCTTCACCACACACCTATTGATCACCGTGAACATGAACCCACACTGATTGCACTTCAAATGAATGACGAATTGTTGGAAAAGCTAAATACTGCTACAAAAGAAAGGCATACATTGGCCAAAATCCGCGAATTGTCCCGAACAGTTGATTTATCAATCCCTGAAGATGTGAGTAGATCCAAAACTAAGAAATACTGTAAATGGTAGACTCACACTTTTGTTTTGGGATGGTTGTAGGGATTTAAGCTGGACTTGAACACCCATACACGTTTGCTTGGACAACGACTGCTCCTGCACGAGGGAACACTGGCTAAAAACAAAAGTGGACGGAAACTGCAGTTGTACTTATTTAATGATATGCTGTTGCTCGTTCATTCCAAGCCTAGTGCTGGATATGGATTAAGTCTTTATCGAAAAGTATGCTTTTTATTTGTGATGAATTTTAAGTTGCAACATGATTTGATTGTATCTGATGTCTACAGACAGCTAAATATGCTATACTATGCCTTTTCATGGAAATCTATTTAGCCAATTATGATGTCGGATATGATTGCTCGTGAAGCTGCCAGACTATCCAACAAAGATGCGGGATTGATTGACAAGTGCTGTTTGCAGATTGTTATGGAAAACGATATCATTACGCTACGTGCCATGTCAGTTTCAGATAAACGACAATGGCTAAACCAAATTGAAGCTGCAGTAAAAATTGAGCGTACTGCACAAAAGCGATTGGCGGGTGGACAAAAAATGCAAGCTTCTATAATGTCACAGACAACGATTGGAACTTTAGAGGTAAAACTTTACCAAGCCCAACACCTTGGTCCAGTTGATCGCGGAGGTGTGTATGAGCACGTTGATTAGTCTTTTGAATTCTGTATTTCAAAAACTGTTGATACTGACACGACAATATTTTGGTATAGGTCGTAGACTTGATGTGTATGCTGTTGTGCAAGTACACCATCAAGCAACAAAATCCAAACAGGTGTCATGGTCTCAACCTCGATGGAATCAATCCCTCACATTTTCGGTAACCAGTCTTGATGATGTGATCAAGATTGCCCTATACGGCTATGACAAGTACTCCAAAGATGGTAAGGATTGCTCTATTCCGTGTTCAAGAGAAATGTGCTTGCTTACATTGATTATTCCTATATCTTGATACTTTAGAATATCTGGGTCAAGCTCAAGTACAGATGGATATTCTTGAATATTACGTTGGAAAAGAAACAGAGCGCATGACGCTTGATCTTCACGATGCATCACAGGGCAAAGTCGAAGTTCAACTATTGTATCGACTCGCTCGATAAAATAAAATGAGAAATTGTCAGTAATCATTACCCTTGATGTTCTTGTCAGGATGTTTCTATTCCTGTCTTTAGATATAATAAACATGACAACGCGAACTTGCAGCCCACAATACAAACCTGCAACTTCCAAACCTACTCGAGCTCAAAAAAGTATTGAATGTGGTAGTGCAAGTTGAACAAGCAAACCCAATCACACACAAGTGCGGTTGAATGTATTTTATGCAAGTACTTTTTAAATAGTGACAACACTGATAACTATCGGAACTTTTCCATTATGTTTCCTTGTCATTAGTTGTGATTCAAGATCAAGATCAGCTTCCTATAGTAGAAAAATAGTGATTTGATGAACACTATACCTTTGGCAAGTCATGTGTTGATGCAAAACACTACGTAGTATTGGTATAAATTTCGGATACCGATTAAAGCTGTGTAGGCTAGATGTATACAAAACGTAGAGCATATTGCCAAGCACCAAGCATGTTTACACTTGATTCATCCCGTAATCCTATGGCAAATCACAGTAAACCTGAGCATGAAGCTCGAAATCGGGTTGATTTTCAAGTTTGACATTATGCGGGCCATCATGTTAATTCCACACATGGCATTGATAATTAACCCGTAAATTAACCCTGTTTCAGTACTAAATCACAATTGATTGGCCAGCAGCTTCCAATATCCACGATACCCAAGTGTGATTACAAGCATATGATTCAACTGAAACAATTACTAGACATGAGGCGTATGGACAGGTTCCTAGATTATCACAAGAACTTGGTTGGCAACACGCTTCCGAATAAAAAACGTCCGACTTTATATATAGCCATCATATCATGAACTTTTAGACATTAGATTTACCAATAGTACTTCAACTCTTCAAATGCTTTTTTCTACTCTGATTGTTGCTATTCTTGCCGCTACCGTTTCAGCCAGAACCCATCGTGGCTGCCGTAGTAATGCAGGATGCCCACCAGGCGAACAATGTCTAGTTCTTGCATCAAGCAGCAGAACCACCATGTGCAGACCCATCGGTTGGTGCATGAAAGGCCATTACTGCACAATGTCTCAGCATTGCGTCGTTCCAGAAGGATCCGACACTGGACACTGCGAGCAAAACTAAATCGACTGGCTCGCGTATAAATGCATTTCATCTTTCAACAGCCTTGCAAATTTGAAATAAAACTGTTTAATTTTTGGAATTAAAAGTTGATAAAATTGTTTAATTTTTGGATTGAAAGTTGTCAGAATAATAAAATAATCGACTGTAATGCATGATGTTCACTCTACGTGGCCATCAGAATGAACTTACTGCTTTATCGTTTCCTCCATATGATAAAGATTCACTCACTAATCCATTGCTAGCTTCTGGTGATTCTGCTGGCTGGTTATATTTATGGGATCTGGTGTATCGACGTCCTATTCGTGCCTGGCAAGCTCATCCTCCAATACATTCTACATCTGGTGGAATATTACATTTACAATCATTTAGTACTCATTTGACTACTCATTTGACTGATGATTGTCATGAATTGTCTATTTGCATTGCTAGGTACTTGTATGGTGATTCGATTAAATCAGACTAGATTGGACTGTTTGGCATATTGATTCATCATTATTCAATCCATCTAGTCAAGGTAGAGACAATACTGTACATATTTGGTCTTTGAATGACATTATCTGTAGTACTGCTGGTAAAGCCTTGGATCCTCAATTGGTGTCATTTGGTCCATCACCTACTCCCATCTACTCATTTCCAACAAACTCGCTCAACTTTTGTCGGTTTGCTATGGCTTACAAACAGATGGATGCATTCAACCATGTTCTATTTGCTATTCCAAACTTGACTGATTCTAACCGGATCGATATATTTGACTATACCACTCGCTCGTACATGATTCGATCTATTGGACTCGAGTCCAACACACATGTCAAGACGGGCATTGTAATGTGCATGCAGTTCTTTAATCAGCCTGAATCATCCACTATCAGCACTGAAACTCGATCAGATTGTTTGTTTTTATTGGCTGCTGGATACGAATCTGGACATATTATTATTTGGAATGTTATCAATGGAACTCGTCTTGGCATCATGCAGTTTCATATAGAGCCCGTCATGTCGCTTGATATTGTTGGCAGACATCAACTATCCAATTTGACTATTCCAGTTGCACCATCTAAAGCAGGAACTTGGGGTGTATCTGTTGCTGCAGACAATCAATTGGTTTTGTTTTCTACTGAATTCGATCATAATGGTAGCGTATTGGAATACCATCGAACTGAACTCCCGTCGACTGGCACTTCTGATGTCAGAATTGTTTTCGATGGAAGTGAAATTATAACTGCAGGATGGGATGGTGCATTAAGACGATTTAAACCTTCAAAAAAGTTAAAATGCACCAACGTTGTGCAAGCTTTCAAGGAATCCATCAAGTGTATGGAATGTTGTCCATGTTTTATTACCGAATTACTAGTTCAGAATTCTTTAACTTCCAACTCGACGCAATCTAAACTACTTTTACAACCCAAACAAGACACTTTATCCAACAAACTCGATAGGCATATGATTGCTATTGGATCAAAAGATGGACGAATATGTTTGTCATAACTGATTTGTATTTGGACACTATCGTTTGCTTGCTATTGAATTGAGTTGTTCAATTGCTCAAAGCAATCTGATTGTCACAGTTGGTGACAAAGGGTATGAGAATCAAGAGATGGAATAAAATAAGAAATTGTCAGCGACCATCAATGTGTTGTTTTGAAAATATCGGTAGATTGTTGTTTTGAATGGCAGAATTATTCATTGCTCGTATCTCGTGTACCATGACGACAATTTAACTTGATCTTGTTCCGACACGAGTCTTGATGCTCTACAAATATAGTTTGTACACTAACCTAAAACAGTTGTGCAATGTTACAACAGTTTATATTGAAATGTAACAGCAACCTGTTTAATGCTATCAAAATGTCTGTTAAATATGATGAAACCAAGTTAAAATATAAATATTACTCTTTGTCATCCACTTTGTTTTCAGCTTGAATACTCGATATGTTCCATCGTGGTAGGCAGCTTCCGCCTTCAACCCCACAATTCTGATGTGTGCACTGATGCCATCATCAAGGCGTCTAATTGCAAGCCTGCTGCGTGCCACATTCACGACTCTTGTTCCCATCAGCTGAAACGTTACAAAATTCTCCACGAGCACAACGATTATATAATTGATGCATTAACCCTCCTGCAGTCAAACCAGTCGATCCACTTTTTCATATATCCCAACCCTCTCTCAGCACTCTACTGCAGTATACCCTTATTTTAATTAAAATGCATCTTGTTGCACTCTCCGTGGCCATAACAGTTGCGTTGACTTTTGGTCCTACTTCAATCTCCACCCTCCCCCTTCCTGGTTCACGATTTATTAATCCATCCAGTAAATTCTACAATCAACCCAAAGCATATAAACGAGACGGCTCCGGCGTTGTACCTGCCAGCTTCACAGGCGAGAAACAAATCAATGTACTGGATGTCGATGGCGTGAGCTACAAGGTCAACTATGACGATATACGTGGCCTAAACGACTTGAGAGAACAAAAGATGTCTCGTCTCTCGCACAACGTTTCCTTTATCAATAGCAAGAATTTTGGCGGTCCCGATGAGCCTGTTGATGAGATTAGTGTCACACTGCTAGGGAAAAACCCCAAGGCAGTCTATCAACGCGACCTTGAGAATCCACAAGGCATATTTTACAAGAAGTAGGCGGCCGTCTGGATTGGACCTAGATTAGACGGTTCGGTTTTTCATTCATTCGTCTTGTCAGTTTCAGGCATCACAGCTGGTGATAAAAAGGATCAAAATGGAAAAATAAATGAAAAATTGTCAGTAACTATCATTATCAGTGTGTATCATGTTTGAAAAGTACTTGCATAAAATCCACTTGTATGATTGGATTGAATCCTCGTTGTTTTTGAAAATATCAGTAGATTGTTGATCTGAATGGTAGGACCATTTATTGATTGTACCACAGCGACAATCTGATGTTTCGAGTCTGTACACTAACCTAAAACAGTTGTGCAATGTTACAACAGTTCATATTGAAATGCAACAGCAATCTGTTTGATGCTATCAGAATGTCTGTTAAATATGATGAAACCAAGTTAAAATATAAACATTACTCTTTGTCATCCACTTTGACTAGTATCTCATGCATTGATATAGTGCATCAAACAAATGATATAATGGGTTAAATCAATACTAGATACCATGAAAAACACTTGCTATCATTTTAGTATTTCCATGTCCATTTTTGTCGATTGACGCGAATTTATATTCAATTTAACCTCGAAATCGACTCATCAAGGCTGCGAAAATTGACTCGAATGAAACATTGTAAACTCGAGTCATATTTACCAGGAATAGGTATGATAATGCCCTTTTAGCTCAACTGGGAGAGCGCTCGACTTAAGCTCGAGAGATTCGTGTTCAAACCTCGAAGGGGGCAAGTTGGTATCGATTTCCAGTCATGCGTGCCTTTACTAAACATGCATTGCATTATGTGTTGGTTCAAATCTAATATACAATACTCTTCTTGACTGTATATTAAATATATTGCCATATTGTGATGGCTATATATTTAATACATGATCACTAAAAATACCCAGCATTTTCAACTTCTGAATCTATCTTAAGCCAGATCGGTTTAATATAATGGTTTTAGTATATATCAAGTTACAATTATTATGCTTGTTTGTTTTTTACCCAACGTTATTGTGTCAAGTCTACAGTAAATACTCGGCAGTTTTGTTTTGTTGCATCACGACCTTGATTGCATGCTGTTGGTGTACAGTGTTGGCTTGTTGGGTAGTATATCAACTGTAAATATTGAACGTTGCCAATTAAAGCTAATACGACAATCACCAAGTAAACGAAAAATCAAAAATGTTGATGTATTGGTATAGAATCAATAGAGTATGAGTTGGACCATCAATAACCATGTTGGATACTAGACTTGATTATAATCAGTTCATTGCAGATATTGGTTGTTGCTTATTTTCATACGAGGTTTTTAGTCCAACATTCAATGGCGTCTACTAATCGGTTGATCAACTACAAACTATTATTGATCTACCGGAATGGTAGTTTGACTACTTGACACAATCATTAATTCATACACTTGCTCAAACTGAACCAGATCTTTCCAACACTAGCCATCTGTATGAATGTTGATATAATTCATTCTATACAGTCTATACATGATCAATGATTGCAGATTATACAATGTATATCAATTGTTGACTCGGATACACTTTAACATCCACGTTTGGATCAAAATCCACCTTGGCAAATATATATTGTCAGATACATGCAATTTACAATCCAGGTTGACCAACAACCATATCATTAAATGGATGGATATTCGAAATACAATAAAATATAAAGTGAATAGCTTGGTGGACTGATCAAGCAGATGTTTTGGGAATGTGATCTGAACAACAAAATGGCAGTATTGGTTCAAACAGAACACTCGATAGTATCATCACATGTGCTTTTAGTTGGAATCATGTACAAGGTCATTGATGTTACAAGTCAGGGTAATGAACAGATGATCTGTCATGTAATCTGACATGCTTTGATGATCCAGATTTGAATGATTTGGAACAAGCCATTACACGAATCAATACATACAAAACTGGAATACACCAAGATGATCATCTACAATCAAAAACAGTGACAGCCAACATCAACTCAAGCAATAGACAAATGTTGGAGTATGAATGCAAAAGTATAAAATATGAAAAGTAAAAATGCCTTCACCGCGGATTGAACGCGGGACATTTAGATCTTCAGTCTAACGCTCTCCCAGCTGAGCTATAAAGGCATATTTGTTGAATTGAGCAATGCATATACAATCTCACAATATCATGTTGAACATTGTATTACTTGATTTACAATCGTATTCATGTAAAACGAAACACTTGTATTTATTTTGCAGTGGTCGATCCCTTGAAATAAACAATAGTTGAATATTTATTGTGCTTTCCTACTACAGATTGACCTGAATCAACACTCGGTATGTGTTTAGAAAGCTTTGGGATATTACAGCATCCAATGCTTTTGATTAGTCTCCAAACACACCAATCATCAGGAGTTACACAACCAAACTATAGTTTTAAACTGGTGTTTTGGATCTTTCACTTTTGGTATAGCCATACATTGCACGATCGTCAAGTTTGAAGTCAAATAGGAATTTCCGCCATGCAAAAAAAGACAATATTTTACAGCCTATTTTATTTCATAGTTGTACACGATTATTTGACCAAGCTGTTGAAACCAATACATTTTGGACATTATCCAACTTTTAGATCTAGTCGGCATCAGCATCATTTTCGCTAATCAAACGAACAAATACTTCTTCAAGAGTAGTTTGCCCCACACCCCAATCAAGAATACCATGTCGAGCTTTGCCAGCTTCGACAGCCTGAAACAGCTGTGTCAGTGTGCCTGAAGCAGCAGGAAATTCGTACAATGCATTCGTAGCAAATGAGTCAATCTTGACCCATCCATTTGGAAGAACAGACTCGACAAATGCACATGCGCGATCAATATCGTGTTGAAGTGCATTCAGATGAACACGATATCCAGATCCATAGACTTGCTTAAGCCGAGTAGGGTTAGCCAAACATCTGACAGTGCCTTTTGCCATCATACCAATACGCTGACATAAAGCCTCGGCTTCTTCCATCGAGTGAGTAGTAAGAACAATGGTTTTGTCACGTTTAGCTTGCTCAATAATACTCCAAATCTGTCGTCGCACTTCTGGATCAAGTCCAGTTGTGGGCTCATCCAGGAAAACAACTTTGGGGTTTCCTAGCAGCGCAATAGCAATGCTTACACGGCGTTGCTGACCTCCAGACAGCTCACGAACTTCACGATCCCATTGTTCTTCAAGTGCAACACTTACAATGGCTTGATGAACAGCCAAATCTTCATCCTCCTTGAAAATCCCCTTGAGACGAGCATAAAAGTATAAATGTTCTTGCACAGTAAGGTATTCCCACAAAATATTAAACTGAGGACAAAAACCAATACTTTTGTACACCTCACTGGTTTGAGTTTGAACGTCAAATCCGCCAAGCAAGGCAGATCCACTCGTGGCTTCATACAGCCCAGTCAATATGCTGATCAAAGTGGTTTTACCAGCACCGTTTGGTCCAAGTAACCCAAAAACAACACCTTCCTCAACAGCAAATGTAACATCCTTGACGGCAATCTTTGGACCCGCACCGCTTCGGCTAGCATAGACTTTACGTATGTGACGAATCACCAATGGTGAGTTTGGATCAAACTGATCGCTGTCTACACGACTTCGCTCATTCACAACATCTTGATCCTCGTGTTGGATTTCATTTGCATTCAGTGCCTTGGAAATGGCAAGCTGGGCTTCTAGATCGATTTTTTTGTTGGAATTGGTAAAAAGACTAGTTAGGGGGAAATGCCACGGCCGGCTAACACCAAACTCGGACGGCAGAACTGAAATCAGATATGTAGCTAGAATGAGAAAAATCGGAGTCGAGGCAGCAAGAACAACAGTGGCAATATACACTTGATCGCCAGACTGAAGCATGCTCATGGTGTATGGAGTCATACCTTCTTGGAACGAAGCACGATTCAAAACACCCAAAGCACGATAGAATGCAAATGGCGGCCACAGAAAAAAGTAGGGTGAAATGGTGTTGTTGCCAATCATAGTATCAAACGTCACTGCAATCATCACACCGCAAATGACCAACAAAAATACCGACACAAGTGCCAGTCGACTACGCTTGAAAAGAGCCGACAAAAAAAAGGCAATCGACACTTGCGCATTGCCCCAAAGAAACAGCACAAGAATCAATACCGCAGGTGCCGTATTTACAAACAGTGAAAGACTGTATGCACTACCACAAATGTAAAAGATTACGGCAGAGATGAGATACAGCGTGATGAACGTGAGGTATTGGCTGATATAGTACGCAGTAGAACTCAAGCCATTCATTCGCATCATGATCAACACCTTGGACTCTTTTTCTTGTACGAGATCAATCACAAACATGGGAAGTAAGAACGAAATAGCAAATGGGTATATGAAGCTTGCTAACGAGTTGCCAAGCATAGACTTGAATGGGTCCTTGACAATACGTGGCATAACACGTAGTCCCTGTGTGATGGAAGCGTGGCCTAGTTTCACTGGATCGCTATTGCGCAAAAAGGCGTTGCTCAGTTGGGTTAGCTGCACTAGTTGACGATCTCCTGGACTAGGAAAATTATGAGCTATTTGAAGCAAACTGTTGGTTCCAATATTCATATTGACAGCATATTGTTTTTTGGCGTGATCTACCATTTTGAAGTAAATACCACCATGAGGAACGTTTTTTAACGCGTTTCCAATGGCTTGGTTGACATAAAAAAAGCCCTTGTAGTTGTTAACGTAGCCTGAGAGTGCAGTTTTGTCAATAAATCCAATAGCCGTGCTACTTGATTTTAGGGCGGCAAGAATGTACTCTTCCATGGATGCTTCATTGATAGCAGGGACATACCAAGGAACAGCAGTGACATTGGCAGTTGGGCCGTGATTGGTAAATGGGTCAAAATCAAGATAGTAACGAGTCGGAATCGTTCCAAAGAGGCCATTAGCCACAGTATCATTGGGAGTGCGAGGAGCAGCAGCGGGAATAGCAAACGCAGGATTTGATGGTGCTTTTATTAGATCTGAAAGTGGAAAAGCAGGACCTTGAGGACGAGTGCCAATTTGCGAGATGTTGACGCTTGGATCTGCAGCGTACAGATACCACGAGCGTTTTTGGAGGCTATTGAAGACGTAAAGAGTAGAAGGCTGGACTTTTGGCGAACTT